TGGAACTGTCGGATTTGGACTAGGTGGTGGACCGGTGGCTCCAGTTTCTTTTTCTTCAGCAGAACATTCATTTACAGTGTGATTATTTTTGATTTTTGAATCATTTTTATGGACACATATTTTTTAGAATGCCTGACTGACAATAAAGGAACTGTGTTGATACTGATAGTGTTTTGCCTTGCCCTTTTTTTACTGCATCTTCCCATGACATCATGATTTTCCTGCTCTTTTTTTGCTATTGGACTTTACTTTATGGCTGTACAAACCTGTGACATTACTCACAACATTCATTGTTCTATCCCTTTCTTTTCCTTTTTTGACAATCTTATCCTGTACTACCTACGCAGGATTTGTCAGCATACATTCCTTCCTTCATGTTCTTTCTTATTCTTTTTGCACAGCTATACTGTGCATAGCCTACCTTTCTTTTACTATATAAACCCCTGTATTTTACCTTGTAAAAAAACAACAAAAACTCCAATCCAGACTTCTTCTCTACTCTCAAGTTCACTACTCTCTGCTACTTGTGATCCAGTGTGGTCACAACACTTCCCACTGCTACCACTGCTATCTGCTGTCATCATCACTTCCCGCTTTTGAAGTCATTGTCATCCCTTTCGATTAGAGTCCTTCTGACCACTACAGTTTGTGCGTCAGGAGCCTGCTATCACTGGGAACCTCGTCATCTTGTTGTTCTCAAACCTACCTTGTGCTATAATTTGCATGGTAGTGCTCATCTATACTCGTCATAAAGCCCCTATCCTCTTTAAATTCAACTATCCCTCCTCCTCAAAACCCACACCCATACATCTTTGGGTTTGATTTTGAAGGATCATCATATATGCCACCCCACAAATTACCAGAGCACCCACTGTTCTAGGAGGCAAAGCCCATAAACAAGTTCTGTGGAATCTGGGAGGATTGTTTGTCAGTTTGTATTTGTGTGTGGTTTTCTAACAACAGTTCTCATCATCAACAGCGCGGCGCAAGAAAGAGGAGTTTGAACAAAAAGGGAAGTGCCGCGTGGCACCATGTGTGAAAGCTAAAGTACAAGGTTAAAGCGGAGAATGAAAATGAAAGGAAAGGTCCGAAATTGTGTTATCGTAACAACAATCAGCATGCTTGATGTGAAGTCAATCCAATGTAAAGTTTGTGAAAATGTCATTCTAGTATAGTATTTTACCAATATATAAGTATATTGCTTAACAATAATATATATGTCTAATGCTGCTCATATACACTGTACTGCTTGTTTTATACCAGCCATCTCTTTTCTCTCCCTATCTCCTCTGAGGTTTTGACCATACTGTGTAGTGTACTAATTTTATTGAGAGTATTGACTATGCTGGATACAAATACCATACTATTGGTAACTGAGGAGCAACCCAAAACTTCTGTTTTATACAATATGATGTGCTTATCAAACAAGGCCTCAACAACTTCACCATCCTCTGTACTACTGAGTAAAATATGTTGGCAAGTAACATAAGTAAAACTGGGTTGATTATTGGAGAGCATAGACCCACTGAGATTCTAAGCTAGGCTTAAAGTTTGTAAAATCAGTACCAGATTTACCACTGGTACACTGTAACCACACACTATAGTAAGAATGAAAGTTAACCTACTGAAAATCAATGTGTTGAAAAACTTATAGTAGATGATACCTAAACAGGTGCCTTATATAATAGAGCTAATAGGACTTAGTTTAAAAGCATTATGAGTATGAAATATAGTAGCAAGTAATTGACTAGTATTAGTTAAAGAGGACACTTATATATATTTAAGCCATGTTTAATTTTGGGACCTGTAATTATGGGACTTGAAAATGATTATACATCTACTATCTTTAGGATGTAGTAACATACAGTGATTGTTACATAATTAAATACTCTGGCTTAAAATGTATCTCTCATAGTATCAGGAAGGCTTTTGTTCTTCTATTAGAATGGTTTTTTTAGTTAAGGTAGTCTATTAATTAAGATTTGCTAATCATCACTGAAGGAGATGTTAGAATATTAAAATTTTTATCATCTTAGTATTATCCTGACATCACTACCTACATAGAAATACTCCTTGGAATACCAGGGACCATATATTAATACTACTGCCAGATCTGTATTTCTTTTATTTTCCATCATGTCTAGGCCACATTAACTTGTATTCTTAAATACCCACTGAAAACAGGCTGCCAGATATACAGTATATTTCCAACTTAGTGACATATAGTTAATACAAGATCGTAAATATAGCCAAGAGATATAATGTAGTATAAGTATCCAAGTGAAAAGTTTTTTGCCCCCATTTTCCCATGTATCCCACCACATCTGAAGTGACATAGGCAATATAGATGACTGGCTGTCACACACATAAGTTTTTATATCCAGATTTGATGTAACTATCACCTTAAATAAATTAGATTTACAGGTCTGATGATAGTGTGACAATTTTAAGGTCATAAGGGTATAGTGTAGTTGGTCTACCCTTCTCATACTAGAAGCCTAGAGTATAGTGATTTGAATTGGGGGTAGTAATGGTCACAATTTGCATAAAGATGATAATTATCAAATGTATACTCATAACATGAATATAAGTGCTTTTATTTTGTGTTATATTATAGAAGCAAATATTAACATTGATCCTCTCACCTGTCTGTGAAGACCCCTGCCACCCTGTTACATGTGACAAGAGTAGGGATCAGCCCATTTGGAGGTTCATTAGGGAATATCCCATTTTTACATATGGGACAATCCCAAATTCCAAGAAAAAGCAATGGGATTGTCCCTAATTCTTGTAGGTCTGATTCCTAATATGTGGTAGTAGGCCATGAAAATCTGGGCTCTTAGCCCCATATGTTTGGTGAGCATGATCAGGCCAAGAGCCTAACTATACGGGGTGACTGAAGTGGAGCAGTATATGACAAGGCTGCCATTTGTTGCCTTTGTTTGGAAAAGATCAAGTGCCTGCTCACTGGGGTACAGAAAATGTTTTGGATGTTCGTGATAGATTTCTATTAAATAATTGGGCTAGTTTGTAAGCATACCAAACTATTTGGTGAACATTAATTCTATCATTATTAGTATCAGAAAAAGGTTCTCATAGACATAAATGAGCTGGTATAGCTAGTATAGCTGATATAGTAACTATAAGGCTTCACATAGAGATTTATTGGCTATAATAGGAATTGAATAGCTATTATAGCAACTATAGAAACATACCCAGCTATATAGCAAAATTGTTTTTCCTGATGTGATTATGAATAAAGTGAAGGCATAGTTGTCCTTATCAGGTGAGTCTTGAGCAGTATTGGCTTTTTCTCTCTTCTTTTTCTGATGTGGGCCTTAGCCTTCTTTGCCACCACCTTTTTGCCAGACATCTTTGTCTGTGTGTCCATCCCTGTCACAATTGGAGTATTTTTTTCTTTTGGGTGCATTTAAACCTTTTCTTTTGGTTTTGTGCATTTAAGGCTGATTCACTTGCTCATTTCATAGTTGCTTGGTAAACTATCAAATAAGAATGTATGTAGTATACTCACAGCTCAACTGCCTTGCTAGAGCTAAGGTAGCTGAACTGTGGTCTGACATTTTGGCACTGCATGGCTGTACATATTAGTAATCAAATAATGGACCACTCAAGGTGGAATCTATGATATGGGTCATGTATTCTAACAATTTTTGTTCAATTGAGAACTTCTGGGAAGTATCTAGCCACTTGCTGAGAGCTAACAGGGACAGAACTAGAGTCCAGTATGAGTAACTTTATTATCAGAGAGTACAGAATGTGTACAGTACCTAGAGTCCAGTATGAGTAACTAAAGAATAGGAATACTGGAATCTGCAATACTAATCCGAAGTTTTGTAAACAAAGGTAAACAAATCAGCCACAAAGGCAAAATTATAGAATGCTCAGTGAATACTGAACAATAGAGCAAAAGGAATAAAAAGGAAAGTGATTTAGAAAGAAGAGAAAATAGATAGCACAACTAGGTGCAGAATCACCAAAACTAACAATTTTGGGTCTCAAGGGTTTGACCCTAGGAGGGGGGATACTGTTATATTCATGCCACAGGCCAGGAAACCTGAACCTCCAAACAGTGAGAAACCAATCCAAACTCCCAAATCTTCAGTCTTCCCAGTATTATGCTCCTTATGCTCTTCCTGCTTGGCATGGTCCTGTACCTTGCTCCCATATGGTACTCTGGATACCCACTCCAATTCTCCTGCCCCAGACCTCCAGTCCGCCATATGTTTCCTCTGCACATTCTTATTTATGGACTCTGTAGCTAGACCTTATGGTACACCCCTCTCATATATGATTTCCCCTTGCTAGATAATTGTTTGCATGGTACTCCGTACCTACATTACAGGTTACTCCTTACAAACTCCAATCCCTCTGTTAGTATATAAAAACTGTAGCTGATGTACTCCATTCCTGCAGTTCAAATATCAACTAGTTCTTCCAATCCAAGCCTTCTTCTAAGTCTTCCGGTTCTTCTCCAAAGGACCATTACTCCTCTCCACCTTTCATCCTCTACTCTCCCCTCATTCACTCTGTCAAGTCAGGCACTAAGGTCTGCAGAAGAGAGCTAAGCCAACTCCCAACCTCGTACTCTCTTCTGCTCCCACAGTGCACCTCCAAACTCCAAACTCCAACAACTCCAAAGGTCACAGCTCTGACATTGTCCTCCTTGGAATGAGCTTTTTTCCACACTACGTAGCAAATGTTCAATCAATCTCATGTGAGCTGGCAGTGTTTCTGCTTGGATGGTAACATAGTCAGGAAAATGCACTCACATACACGCATTCAAGTATGGCATCCCGGCCATTTTTTTACATGTAGGTCACATTATTCTCCTCAATTGCTTTTTTTATTTTGTATCAATCACAGCCTGTCTGCAAAAACAGGAAATGCCAGCACATTTCGGTGACAATTCAGTATGCTTTTACGGAGCACCGTCGAGCCACTGGACAACATGAAGCACGTTCAAGTTGGTATCGTTATCACTACGTCGCAGTATCTCTTCTCAGTCCAAAACTGACAAAACGCCGAATATCCGAAAACACCTCGCGTTTCTGTGCTTCATTACCCTTGCCAATGTGCCCATCTGTACTGGAGCCTGTAGGCGGCCCACTGACTGGTGGCGACACCATCGCCGCAAATATGCCTTCCGCCGCCCCGGTAGCAGGTGCAGGAGTGTTCGCGAGTGGGAGTGAGATGCGGCTCGAACCAGGACTTGTGAGGACACCGAATTGAGCAGTCGTAGGAGGATCCATGTCTAGCGAGGAAAGGAAAGATGTGCTCTCTAATTCTGTTTTGGTACTCGTGATAGTAAGGAAATAGTCGAGCAGGTTATTCTGGTCGGCCTTGGATGTTCCTTTCAAGTCTAGAATCTGATCTCGAAGCGTTATATAATAGCAATCGCATTAGACGGAGGAAGAAATAACCTTCTGGAAGTTTGAAAAGGATGCATCGCCAATGAGCAGCGTATAGTTCAGGATAAAGCCCTCTGGAGGGTCCTGAACGAAAAGATTTGATAGATAGCTCGAGCCCTTACAAGTTATTGGCTTACCACTGGTGTTACTATGACCTTAAGCAACGCTTCGAGCCTCGTCGTACTTTTCGTCAAGCTACGCGTATAACTATGGACCTGATGAGCCCCGCAACTTGAATCACTAAGACAACCCACCTGGATGTCGAAAGAGAATCTGGTAACTTCATTAAACAAGTTTTGATCAGCTGTAGGTCTATAAGTAGCTGGTACATATTAGTCGGTGTTAATTGCAATCGTCATACACTCACCTGCTCTGCACCAATTTCCTTGAGAGGTCGGCTTTTAACCAAAGCATTCGTGAATTTCGTCAGAATAAGACTGAAAAAATATAAGGATAGGGATAGCCATAGAAAGATCAGAAAACAAACCTCGAAGCCTTGTCAAAAAGGTTACGCAGGTATTTTTTCTGCTCGATCAGCGGTGCAATTAATTCTGTCACCTGCTGTGTCACCTTTACAACTTCATCTACGTAACTGGAGTGCCCGCTGACTTGATTCAAGCTACTCCAAGATGTTCGTGCCATAACCCCGAAAGCAGGTTCGCATGCCGAGTCCAGTTCTCTCAGCTGAACAAGTATGGCGGTCGATATAACACTACACTATGATGAAAATCGGAGGAGCTACCAACTGCGAGAGTACAAACCTGACATAGAGATCGCACTCATTCTGAAGCGTAATCTTCTCCTTATAATTTTCATTGATCTTCTCTTTGATTTTTTCCTCGAGCTGCTCCTTGTGAGAACCCAGTATTTCGGCCAAAGAAATGACAAACCTCTACAGCAGTCGTTTGGCAATAATTAGCGGTATTGATCAACAGACATGCTTGGTTCAACTCTGCTATATCATATCGCGTATCTGCAGACCTACGAGCCAGACTCGGATGACTGTCAAGTGCCATATGGTTAACGACCTCCGTTTCTAGGGTAATATAATCACTCACCGCTTCAAACGTGACATTAACACATCCTCTGGGATAGGGTACATTATAAAAGGCTTACAAATAAGGAAAACGACATACATACCAGCGTATATTCGAAGCCATTTCTTGTGCAACGAACAGAGATCAAAGAGAGCTTGGCCCGTGGACAACTTTGCACACTGCTCCAAGGTCTGACCATAGAAATAGAAGAGTTCTGTCGATGATGGAAGTACTACTATAGGAGCTGGATTATTTTCTCCTGCATCAACGGATGACCTTGGTGTCGCGTCGGTAGATGAAACCACCTTGGCTGTGGATGGTTTTCGATGTGGCGCCAACATGTCAGAGAGAGCTCTGGGTGCACAAATGGGATTATGAGTGATGTAAGAGAATGAGAAAAAATATAATACTCAACTTGTCTTGGGCATCTACAAATACACCCAAGTGGGGTTCGAAGGCGGAAGATATAGACTTTGGTGAACGGGAGGAAATAGAGGAAGTAGCCTTAAGTATATCCTCAAACTGCCAGATAGATATTATTGGTAGATTTTAACTAAATCAGCTTTGCAACCTACCGGAGTAGCCCATTTCTTCGCCATCGAAGATTCAAACTCTATAGTCTGATGCATTGTGTCCAGTAAAAGCTTGACGGTGAGGGAAGAGCCCGTTTTCGATAACAGCACAGACATGTCATCTCTTAGGCGCAATCGTGAAACAGCATAAGCATGAGTCTGAGAAATACGCCAGACAAATACCTCGTAATTTCGGTAAACATGGCACACAAGTGCCAACCGGCCCTCCACTCCGAGGGGAAAACACGACCCTGTTCAATTTCATGGGTTTGTAACAACCTTCTGAACCACGCGAACCTCCTTGAGATATTGTCTAAATGACCAGCCTCATCTGTCGCGCGGAATATTCTGCGATATTCTTTGAGTTCTAGCGCTACATAGCGGTCTATGTAATGAATGCGGACGTCTGAGCCTAGAACGTCTACGACAGCACACGCATCAGCAATCACAGCCGGTTTGACAGGTTTTGAAGAATTTTGAAGGTAGCTTTTTTGGGATTCAACCTATGTGAAAAGTTCGATGTAGTGATATGATGACGTACAATGCATCGAAATCAACATCAAGCTGAGCTCGGATTTCGCCTTGCAGTTCTTGTATTCTCTTCCATACTTGCGATATGCGATGAATAGACGTGTAGGGCTTGAACGTAGCAGAAATCTGCTTTACAGCCTGTAGTGTAATGTTAAAAATAGCTAGAAGTGACATAACCGTGAATAATTACTTACTGAAAGCGTCTGTGCCACCTCATCATATCGCTTCTCTGCAATGTGATCCTCGAGCTGCGTAATAGCATTAACTACAATTGTTTAGTTAGATGAGTATTTACAAAGGACAGAAAAATATGTACCTAACATTTGCAAGCGTTTCAAGGTCGTCATACTCAAGATGAGGTTTCTCTTTGCAAGGTCGAGTACTTGAATGTCCTTCGTGATGTTTCTGACGACTGCTTCTGATTCTGTCGCCTTCTCACGGATACGCGACATTTGACCTAAGAGGTCCTGTCCATGTGTCAGATGTTTGTACTTCAAGAAACCCAGAAATACGTACAGATATCATTTCCTGAATTTTCTGCATCCTACTTGGGTCCTGATCCTGCTTCAGCTCTGCTTGTAGAGAGTCGATTTCGTGTTGAAGGTCGCGCTCATTCTGCGCGAGGCGTGAGCGGACTGCCTCTATCTGCCCTAACGAAGCTTCTGCTGACGGAGTTAGTTGCGATTGTTACAATCCATATGTGCGTACCATCTGGAAAATACTCGTTCAATATATCCACAGGGTTGAAGTCATTTGAAAGGACGTCAAGAGGATCGTCATGCTGCTCAGAACTGATGTGCAAAACGCGCTGTATGGACAAAACTACTTCATGTGGAAGGTCTTCGTATTCTCTATGCATAAATGATATGTAGAAACCTGATGGTGAGGGTGATTCCGCTAGTGCACGGAAAGTACAACGAATGGGACTCGGACGCAGTGAAGCCAATAATGTAACCCTAACCTCAGGCCTTAGTCGCAGTAATCGAATAAAAATCCAGCCGCACATCTAACCTAGCCTAGATTACAAATATTGATACATTCAAAAGTTGTACAGGGAAAAACCGATTCCAGCTCTACTATAGCAATTCAGCCAACCTAGCTCTGACTCTCTTCTCTGCCTGAGCCAGTTCAGTTTCTTCAGACCGCCTGTAGAGTTCATTCAGAGGATTTTCAGCGCCTTCTTTCTCCAAGTCTTCTTCAATTAGACTAAAAGCTTTGCAGAATTTTCCGTTCAAGACCTGATCAAAGAGGATGCATTATAACGGTGCAGACGTGTTTTGGAAGAGGAATAAACATACCTGGTTATACAAGATATCTTTGAAATGTTCCCTGGTGCTGGTTCCCTCAAGCTTTAGTGATCCACTCAATTGACCGTATTGCGAAATGGTAGAATGATGTTTCAGCTGTAATAGTATGTTAAAGGATAATATTCTGAACGTATCAGGAGCTGTACCATACCTGAGCAATAAAACCATCATCGGCAGCGCGTTCAAAGATTTCAGCTGGTTCCTTGGACATCCACCTGAATTATGAGGACATTACCCATTAATACTTCTATCTTACGAAAGTGTTATGCTACTCACATTTCATAACACAAAGCTTCATCCGAACATCCGGCCTCCTTAAGCACATTGAAGGCTTCCCTGCAAAAGAAAAGAATTAGTATACGCTTGTGTGAAGATAGCGAACTGTGCAAAATACCTGAACATCATGATGATGTTAGGCCAAAGGGCTTGTTCAGCGAACAGGTCCATCGCCGTCTCTTCTCGTGCAGATGAAGCAATAGCTCCAGCCTTCGTAGCGCCTATGCCACGCGAAAGCGCAAGAGCGATGGGTAAGCCATTACCAGTCCCATCTTGTTCCACGGAAATGAAACATGGGAAGCCACGGCCTTTCTGGTACAGAGACCGCACAGAAGAACCAATCATTCTGGATATACAGTCAGCTCCCTTTCGGTGATTGAAGTCCAAATTCATTTACCTCGGAGCAACCATGACCACGTCCTGCTGAGGCTTGAATTTCAACAAATTGAAGAAAACATTGTAGCCACTAGCAACCACAATGACCGCTGTATCTTTCATCTTTGGAAAAAACTTATTGTTGAAGACACCGGGTTGGACCTGGTCAGGGATGAGTATGAACAAGACTGAAATACAAACAACCATTAGTTCGAGCCCTTGCTTTGAAACATATATATTACCATCCGCGATTTCAGCAGCCTTACTAAAGTCATGCTCGACATTGAAACCTTTAGCCCTAGCCTCATCGGCGAAAGAATCCTTTACGTTCGCAATAGTTATCTGTTCATTCGGTATGCCTGTGTCTCTCAGATTCTGAGCTTGTGCGGAACCCTGTTTTCCGAAACTACAGATAAGGTATCACTATAAGTAGCGTGTAGAAAACATCTGGCCACCTACCCCAAGAAAACAATATTCTTGCCATCCAGAAGACTCAAATCCGCGTCGGCGTCGTAGAAACTACAAGCACAAGCACAAGCGTCAGAATTTCATCGAACAGCACATATCGAATGCAAACCACACATTCTGGCTGATGGCATACTGGTAAAATGCGATAGTCGTTGCGGAGTTAACCCATTCCAACCTCTCCTTTTAAAAGCACATCTGTATGGCGAATCATAATCCGGAGTAAAGGCGGGACGTTGAACTATAGGTCACGTTCACTGATAAGTACATACCTGGCGTGAGTGAGTGAAAGTCCGAAGGTCACGACGGCTAAAAATACGGACCGGGCCTTCCGCCTCCGTAGTTTTGGGCAGATCTCTCGAGGTCATACCACCACACATATGCAGATATTATCTATGCCTTGAATTGCTAAGACGATGCAGCATTTCCTGGATTTTCAGCTTCTTCTAGTACTCTTTAGACGTGATGGCTTTACTCGCAGGCAAGGTCGTTTGTATTACTGGTTCGTCTCGAGGAATTGGACGAGCGTGCGCACTAGAGTCGGTTAAACATGGAGCGACTGGATTGATCTTGCACTATTATGGAGACCCTGAGACTCAGGCCGAAATCGAGTCTCTGCAAAAAGAAATTGAGATCAACCAGAAGCCTTGTCGTATTGTCGCTGTACCTGGTGATATCGCGGATCCTGGAACCGCCACAAAGGCGAGTTACATGTTCACTATTCATGTCAAGCACGTTGAGGCATGCTGATATCTTCCTCGCGTTCAGATCGTGGAGCAAGGCTTGCAGACGTTTTCACGAATCGGTAAGTTAGTCCCGAACATAACGATGCCACTGTGTGAATTGAGATCATGATGCCCGGGAATAGATGTACTCGTTAGTAATGCGGGAATTTGTCCATTCGCGGAATTTCTGAGCATGCCTCACTCCGTCTGGGAGCGAACGAGACAAGTGAACCTGGATGGTTCCTTCTACATTACGCAAGGTGCTTTAGCCTTTTCCACGCCCCCTCGTCCGTTGACATTATCTGTGTCCCCGTATAGCCGTGGCAAACGTGATGAAGAACCAAATTCCTCAAGGTGGGGCTATTATTGGTGTAGCTTCTATTTCTGCGTTAGTCGGTGGTGAAATGCAATGGTAAGCGCTATCTCACTTTCAAGTACAAAGTTCTCAAGCACCTGTTGTAAAGCCACTACACCCCCACTAAGGCTGGCATTTTGTCTCTGATGCAAAGCTGTGCTGTGGCTCTCGGTAAGTATAACATACGTGCTAATGCCGTACTTCCTGGTACGATCGCCACCGATATCAACAAAGACGACCTTAGTGATGTGGAAAAGCGAGAAAATATGATAAAACGAACAGTTTTAGGCAGATTAGGCGGTGAGCATTAGTTTACGAAATATACTTCTGGCCTAATTGCTTTTACACATAGCTCCTGACGATATTGCAGGGCCTGTAGTTTTTCTTGCCAGTGATTTGGCCAAGTATGTAACTGGAGCTTCTCTTCTTGTGGACGGCGGGCTTTTTGTGAATCTTCAGTGATTGATTTCAATTATAAGTGTCATAGCGACACCCCTAGCAATCTAAACTTGTAGCAGTCTTACTGCAACACTTCACCCAGAATATTACCATCAACAACTGCTGCATCTGCGTCGACAAGGACCGTCGCCCATCTTGCCCATTGACTTCCGGGATTCCTCCATGCGTGTATCGTCCCTTTCTGGATCACCGTATCCCCAGGATTTGCGAGATGATTTTCCGTTCCGTCATCAGTTATTAGGATGAGTTCACCTTGAACTATAATGAACGTCAGATTGAGCGAGAGAAGGAAATTGTTAGTTGACTTGCTTAAAATGTTATAATCCACAGAAGTGGTGCGATGCTATGGTCTTTGTATCAGCATCATTCCACTACATCAGCTTTATACATACCATTGGAGTTGTAGCGCCAGGACCCAGATCAGTGTATTTGAAGTTTGTTCCTTTTGGCTGGACAAGGCCTAAGCCACCAACCTTCCGGCGGGCACCGTCCTCACTATAACGGCCATTTTTTAGTCTTGAACGGCTGCAGAGACTGGTTCAAGACCCACTTATTATTGTTATCTTTTGTGGGAAGACCATCAGATGTGACCCAAAAGGTGCCCGTCCGAAGATGCTCGAGACCTGCCATTGACTTGTTGATACGAATGAGATGCTCCGCGACGAAACGAAAGGCGACTACTGACCTCAGAGGGAACGTTGTCGTCTGTCTGTATGACGGCTTGGCCTTGCTCATTGTGAGTGGTTACGATTCGACGAGGTGCGGGCAACGATGGTGCAGACATCGTGGTTTGAGGGATGATAATAGCACTGTACCAGCTGGGCTAACTATCCCATATTTGAACAGAAGCTACTAGTATACGTTGAAGGTTCTTGGGCCATCCCAGCTCTCGTGATACCATGATGATGATCGATGATCATTGTATAGTGGAACCGAACAATAGGAGTGACCGGTGACCGGCCGGGTTAACGTCAGCTCCGGCGCTATATGCCGATTCTGTACAGTTCAGCTTCACTATCGTTGCGGTACTGCAAATTGTCCAACGCCTGGTCATCTCTCTCCTGACTCGATGAGGTTATAAGCACGGAAATCTGAAGGTATACGTTCATGGCATCTTCTACTTCAGACACCAAGACTCAAGTTATATCGACGTATCATGATCATGCGACATTCTCATGCGCGCAGTGTTCAGCGGTGGTAGTCAGTCGCCGTCTGCACCCTTTATTATGACCATTCCTAATTTCAGTCAAGGCTCTCCAGGACGAGCTTATTAGTAAATCATTCTCTGGGAGGGAGGGTAGAGGCTAGTGAGTGATCCATCTAATGCGTTCACACCCACTTTCAGTTCCTACATGCCAATAACTCCTAGCTTGATGCATTCTGCGGTCAATGTCAAACTTGGAAAGAAGGAAGACCGTCCATTATTGTGAGTGACCTTTTTGGATCCGCCGATTCATCAACGTACTAAAGACCATACTATACAGGACTGGTGTGCACACCGTTGCCGATGTCTTTTGTGTTGGATGCAACGACCGTCTAGGCTGGTACTATCATAAGGCCTCCGATTATTCGCAAAAATACAAAGAAGGTTAGTGTCAGTGCTTTGTATACATAAATTCACACTGTGAGCCCATCAATCAAGGGAAATATTTGCTGGAGCGAGAGAAGTTGGTGAAGGATAACGCTTGGAAGTTAGATGAATAATGTAATAATTAGGGCTCAATTCGTCACACTGTATTGTTATCTGTATTTCACTCTTATTTCCACTAAGAGGACGCGCTGCTCTTCCGCTATGATAGTATCGATATACGTACATACGAGATACGTACTGTTCCGCGTCACTCAGTCTCTCTCGCAAGTGGCCCGGATGGCCCGGATATCCGGACGTTCTATCACAGTTGTTTTCCGTGACCACGCGGCAATAACTGTCGTATCTTGAAATCCGGACTTGATTTGCTGGTGAGCGTTAATCTTGCAATTGGTTCTGTGATGGGGATGGTAGGATATAACTTCTCTACACAGGCGGGATGACAAGAGTTACAAACTTCGGACGAAAGCGGACGTATGTCGAGGCTGGCTTCAATGGAGGTGGGCCAGAAGCAGCTGCGTCCGACACAGACAAAACCAGTGCAGATATTGTTGCCGTTCACGAAAGCACGAACATTGACGGATCCCCGGCGGCTGAAGGGCCCGCATCTCCTCCCAACAAGAAACGCAAGAGATCAAAGCAGTCGAAAAAGAATGGAGATAACCTAAAGTCCAAGAGCGACGATTCTAAGAAGTCACTGGCACAGGCTGACGATCGTGAGGACAGTGGGCAACCAGATGCACGCGAAGAAATTTTAGCTACAACTTCGGCTGAAGGCAATAAATTGCAAAAAAGGGCTGAGCAAAAACACTCTAAAAGTAAGCCATCCCGGGCAACCTCAAAAACCTGCCGTTGACGCATCACTCGCAGAGAAGCGGGACGCCGCTCGTGGATCAGAGAGCAGACGTCAAAAACGAATATCAGAACGTCAAGCTGATACAATATGTTTTGCATGTCGCAAGAAAGGGCATGCAGCCAGGGATTGCCCTACAGCAACTGAAGGCAGAAAAAACAACAAGATAGTCGGAATATGTTACCGGTATTTATGCACACTGTGTTGGTGATATATTATCATGACACTTGTCCAGGTGTGGATCGTCGAGGCACAATCTTGCTCGGTGTAAAAAGCCAGAGGACCCGCTAAATCCTCTCCCTTTTGCTTCTTGCTTCGTATGCTCAGGAAAAGGACATCTGGCTTCCTCATGCCCAAAGAACAAAGAGAGAGGGATCTATCCAGATGGTGGATGTTGCAAGCTCTGCGGCGATACCACACACTTAGCAAAGAACTGTGGTCTTAGAAAAGAGGGTGCGTTCATCCTTAATTATTCGCCTCAAACTTACGACCATACCTTTACATTAGGAACCTCAAACAACAATGCAGCATTCCTCGGAATTGGGCATGATGCAGGGGCTGATGAGGATGATTTCCATATGTTCAAGAGGCGAGCTGGTGAAACTGATGCGGAGGAGATGAGTAAGGAAGGAGTCAAGCGTCGCGCTAATATCAGAATGGGGCAACGTTCCGGAGTGGTGAAAGCATTTGGTGAAAAACCGTTGACAACCTCGAAGAAAGTAGTATTCTTCTGATTATCTTCAGTCGAAATATTGACAGATCAAATGCGAGTTATGGCCTCTTCAGCTACTCGCCAGTTACTCGCACCAAAAAAGCTCTTTCCTCTACTGGCGGAGCTAGACTCACCTCTTACTACTGTTTTTCTGGAAATAGCCTTCGTTGCTGTTCCGTAGATGCTGTTATGTGTATACCTGCACCATGTTGTCCATCACAGCCTCTAAAGTAGAGGCACAGCGGAAACGATTACGAGGAACTGGATACTGCGATCTGACATTGAACAGACGACTTGAAAAAAATAGGAGCTTGCGTCTACCTTGAGCCCCGCGATAGAATAATTTTGTAGAGCTTCCTCAAGCAAATTCTCCCAAAGGGCTCTGAGCACACTAACTTCCAAACGACGATGAACCAGAACGAAAAGGCTCTTATAATTACGGGAACAGATAAAAAAAGTAGTAAAATTTGAATATTTACTTTTTTTTTTTGACATAGCTACAGCTGGCGACTGGGTCTTATTTTATTTTGACAAACCGTAACCTATGATAGTTGATAGATCATAGAATCTTCAGATTTCAGCGTGCCACACTCAGGTCGGTGTCACAGGTGATGTTGTGAATCGATTCAGATCGCAACGTCAGACCCTCGAGCTCCGGTTGTCGGCAATCCTCTACACCCGGAGGCTCTTTTGTTACAGCGGCGCGCTGCGGCAATACTCTGTACTTGTAAACTTGTAAACTCAAGCTTCGGTCAAGATCTCGCTTTCAGACCATAATCTGCCACACGGTTGTTGCTAACTGAGACTTAGAAACATGGCTGTCGACAACTCCGGCCCATTCATCAAAATTTCATCGCCTTGTCCAAACGTGCGTCTGGTTGAACTGGCAAGGTATGAGTAGCCCATTGATTTGATGATTCTGGCTAACATAGGGATGATATTTCTGCATTACAGAAAGCCTGTCAACGCTTTCACGGATGAGTATGTATTTCCAAAGTATTTCCGTGCCAGTTAACACCCTTCACAGGTTTTGGGCAGAATATGGCCGTGTCTTCGACGACATGGCAACTCTCACGGAAGATATTCGTGCTGTTGTAGTTTCATCCGCTTTCCCAAAAATCTTTAGCGCAGGAATTGATTGTGAGTACCGCATTGCTGAATATTCACGAATTATTCCTTTAAATATCGCCGAAGTTCAAGGACTGTCCAGCTTAGACGGTCACGATACTGAACCAGCAAGGCTAGGATATATCACTCGCAGACATATTCTAGAGTTTCAACGCGCAATATCAGCTCCTGAAAGATGTCCTTTTCCTGTCGTGGCAGCTGTTCATGGAATGGTCATTGGTTTAGGAATTGATATCATCGCAGCTTGTGACATACGCTACGCGGCCTCGGACACAACATTTTCTATCAAGGTATATCTAACTAACTGATAGCTAAATGTTTAACCTGACAAAGTTCTAGGAAGTAGATGTGGGTTTAGCTGCAGACATAGGCACCCTGGCTCACCTCCCGAAGATCACTGCCAATCAGTCCCTTGCCCGAGAATTAGCGTACACAGCCCGTCCATTTTCTTCTGCAGAAGCCGAGAAGCTGGGGCTAGTTTCGAAAGTCATTGACGGTGGAAGGGAAGCCGTAGTGCGCGAAGCATTGGCACTTGCCAAAGTTATAGCCAGTAAAAGTCCTGTGGCTGTAATCGGTACCAAACATTTACTCCTTCATGCTAGGGATCACAGGTTCGTGGCTCATTTTTATCTTTATGGAAGATATGTGAATAACGTATGATGTTTGCAGTGTGGCTGAAAATCTTGAGTATACCGCCATCTGGAACGGGGCTATGGTTCAGTCACAGGTCAGCGTCTTTAATGCTTTATAGTCCTTTTATGCTATCTGATCTTGATCTAACCATCATAAACAGGATCTAAAGGAGGCAGTTAATGCAGGTATTTCCAAATCAAAAACATTACCTGTCTTCCCTCCGTTGCGTAGCGTCCCTTCAAAACTTTGAAACCGTTTTATACTGGGAAGATAACACTCAATCGAGAGTAATGTGACTATATGTCTGAAGTCCTGTATTGACTTGCACGCATAACCTCCACATGAGGTACCCGACCTTAACGCGTTGACATAGGTAGATCATAACGATTAGAGCCAGTTGACCGAAATCAATACAAAGCGACGTTCGTGGATTGTGTCAGCTCATATTGGGCCCTAACATCCCGCATTATGCGTTCATGTTCAGAATGAATAAAAATGACGACGAGCAGGCAATTACATGAACTTGATCATCAAAGTATAAAATCCCTCTGATTTCATACAAGTAAGGCCAGTGTGCACAACAGGGATTCAGACGTCCGACGAGGGACGACTCTTTACTTTGATCTATTTCTTCCCACTCATCGGATCAAGAAACGCATAAGCTGGATTTCGGAAATCAAGCAAGCAAGTGTGTTAGATGGAGAAAAAAAGGAGATGAAACGGGTGTGTCCTGGACCAAGTGGAAGGGACACCCCTCTGGGCCCCACTGTGTTACCAAGGATTTGAAACTCATTTCTGGAGTTGGCGGACACCAAATTGGAGATGTACTTACTGTAGTCTCGAACCCAGGCTAATATTGGACTTGACTAAGCTCGAAGTGTCATTAAACTCGCACAAAGCACTTTAAACTTGAGTTCATTACACATAAACACAAGGTACTGCACAGACACTGGGATATAATGAGCATGTTTGATATGTATCTCGCAACTCAGTTCCCGGGATCCACCAAATATTCAGTTACAATGCTGTTGATTCTGTGGTCCGCATGCGCAAGTATCGAGATAGTCTCGTTCTGAAATAAACATATTTTTTATGCGATGCAAGTCAGCATCGAGTTATAACTTCCCCTCGACCAACTAAAAATAATTATGAAAAAAGAGAATCACTCACCCAGATTCTATCACTCCACTTTCTGCCTGTTTCACTCAATAGCCAATCATGCTCTTCTACAACCTCACAACTGGATATATAATGACCATGCCTCTCTTGTTCGCCAGAGGCAGCAGCAGCATGTAAGAGTGTGCGACTACCCATCTCCGTAGAGCGGGCAAAAAGAGCCTTGCCTATAGATACTAGGTAACGGAAGGACAAAGATGCATGGCGAGTGAGCTCAGAGTGACAGAACCCTGGATGTACAGCACAGACGCTTAGGCGCGATCCATTGCGAAGACGACGAGCAAGTTCGCGCACAAATACTATTTCCAGGACTTGTTTAAAAAAGGATACAATGAGCACATACAACGGGTATCCGACAAGGTAAGGTAAACTTACATTTTGACAAATTGTATCTATCCTCCATAACCCTATATTGAGAGTAAGGTAACGTACAGCTATTTACACATAGCCTGCACTTACGCTGGAGTACAGTAGCTCTCCGAGCTGAGCATTTTCAGGATATTCGGGCAGTCGCGAGGGCCTTCAAGCTTGCTTATTTTGGTGAAATAATGTGCTTCGCTCGAGACAATTACTAAACGAGACTGGGATGTCTCGGTGGACGAGCGGATGAGGTGGGGAAGCATCAAGATGCTCAAGAGCGCTGTAGACAAGTGATTTACTTGCAACCTGATAAGGAAGTGATGCGAGAGTTAGGACCGCAGGAGAACGGGACAATGAGCTGAGAATGACGAACGTAGTCTCCCACCCATCTTGAGTTTTTGTATACTTGTTAAGGGCCACGCCCGCATTTGCGACGAGGACGTTGGGACTTCTACTTTCTGCCTCAAATTTGGCAACGAAGGCCTTTACAGACTCAAACGAGTCCAGCTCCAACGGCCATGATTCAATGTTATCCAAGGAAATAGGGGACTCTTGTTGTACACCGTCTGAGCGAGATCGTTGTTCGACCACTTGAGGCACATGTAAAGAAATATAGACTTGGAAAATGGAACTGTCACGTACGTGTTTTAGTGACCTCACACTTGTCCGGATTTCTGCAAGTAAGTAATAACTGCGCAGGCTTCAAACGCGCAAGATGAACAGCTGCTTCAAACCCGAGCCCTACGTTTGCGCCGACAAGAACTATAGACTTTGGCCGTAGACTTTCACAGTCTTGAGGTAACGGCAATGGAAGAGTCGTCCATTGTTCACGAAGAAAACGTCTCAGCGCCCAGCGTGCCATCAGGGTTATTATCTGGTGTGATCTTGGTAGTTGTTGTCAGAAGAGCAGGTATGCATTGGCTTCACATGAGTGTCTATATAGCAAGTAGAAACACGTCTACTCAGCCTGAGAAGCTGGTCTATTGATAGTCAGTCAGTTACCTACCAGTGAATTATTTATCGTAGAGAAAACGGCAACGCATGTAATTCACTGAGGGAAGGCCGCGGCTCTTACTGTCACGTGATCTCCACTGCAAAACTCGGATTGTCTTCGTTCGAACTTATTGGTAGACTGATCTCACCACAAATGATCCCGAGATGATAAACAAAAACAACAACTAGCCTGGTCAAATCTGTTATCCCTGCGATGTTCACAATACGTCACCCGGGACCACCTCCATTAACATCATTTTCGTCTGAGTCACGACAGTCTTCATCCTCCGGTACAGCTAACATCGACGATCAATCAACATGCACTTGGCATTGCTGAGAACGACACGGCTATGTCGACTTTGTGATTTTGCGATTATCGAAGGACCTAAATTTGACTTTGGGACGGTGGTGGAAATGTTAGGAGGAGAAACAATCGGTTATATTAGAAACGCACATTGACATTCACAGGCATAGCGTGTGCAAGTCCGCAAAATCCGACATTTCGTCAAAGGCAGTATGGTAACTTCCTGAGTCGTCGTCATCCTGGTAATAAGTGTTGTCCCTCACATCAACGTATTCCATGTCAATCGGCTTAGCACTGTATTCTTGAAATAGTTCAACCATGTCACTTGCTTCTGCGGCTCTCGCGAGCATCAAAGGTGTCATTCCACAATTATCCTCTAGATCAACATGGACGCTGTTCTGTGAAAGAAGAAGCCTTGCTATTGCCACTCGGGTATCAAGCGACACATTATTATGTTGCAAGACGATGGCGCAGTGGAGTGGGGTCTGTCCACAGACATTCTTTAGGTTCAGTGCAATACTGTCCTGGCTAACGAGTAAAGAGACGACATCCGTATGATGCGAGCGCACTGCACAGTGTAAAGGCGAGTCGCCATTTTCGTCTTGCAAATTCACATCAATGTCATTTCTGGAGAGTAGCTGTTGCACGAGAAGTTTGCTTCCTGTTTTTGCTGCAACACACAGCAGTGTTTCCCCATGCTCATCTCTCCAGTCAACATCGACGTCAACTCGTTCAAGCAGCAGGCTCACGACGTTTCTTTTGGGAAAAACAGAGCCTAAACTCTGGACATTACTATTATCAACGTCGTCAGTCGTTTGATAATACTAACATCACTGTGATTATTTGCACTTACTGTTTCGTGATACTATGACAGCCACTCCTACTACAACCTGGATGTATGAAGGAACCCTGAGCCAGAATGTCATTCTCATGGTCCAAATATCGACACGCCGCAGCCCATAAAGGTGGTATATAGCTGTGCATCGGGATCACGTTTACATCGATATTTCTGAACGCCAGCAAGCACTCCACTGTTTTTGCATGGCCATGTCTAGCTGCTAGCCACAGAGGTGTCTGGCCGTATGCGTCTTTGGAGTCGATGTTAATGCCATGCCTTGCTAATAGCAGCTGAACAACCTCTGAATGACCCTCTTCGGCCGCAAGTGAGAGGGACGTCCTGCCTGTTAAGTCCTTCGAATTCGGATCCATGTCTTGTCTGACTAACAGTAATCGAGTAATTCCTGTATTCCCATTCATGGTTGCGAGCGAGAGGGGCGTCCTGCCGAGGCTATCCTTCAAATCAAGGTCTACGTCAAGCCTCGATAACAGCAGCTTAACAATCCCCATGTATCCCTGTTCAACTGCGAATAACAGCGATGTCCGACCCACATTATCCCTTGAATCCGGATTCACATCGCGTCTTTCCAGTAGTAGTTTGACAATCTCCATACTTCGCTGCTCGAGTGCAAAAGAGAGGGGTGTTCGACCCAAGTGATCCTTCGAGTCAGGATCCATATCAGGCCTCAGTAGCAGCAACCTGACGATCCCCACGTGCCTCTGGCTCACAGCGAGAAAAAGTAGGGTCCTGCCCTTGTCGTCTTTTGAGTTGACATTCACTTCTTGTCTAGCCAACAGCAGCCGAATGATTTCAACACTCTCCTGCTTGACTGCGAGCGAGAGAGGCGTCCTACCCGAATAGTCCTTTGAGTCGAAATCGACGTCATGTCTCGCTAACAGCAGCCTGACAATCCCAGAAAATTCTTTTTCGACCGCGAGCAAGAGTGGTGACCGACCCGTGGAATCCTTCGAAGAAGGATCTACTTCACGTCTTGACAATAGTGATCGGACGACCTCCAGACTCCCATTTTCGGCCGCAAACGAGAGGGGTGTCCTACCCATGTGGTCCTTCGAGTCGGGATCTACGTTATCTTTCGCTAACAATAACTTGACGATCTTCACACATCCTTGCTCAGCTGCGATCGATAAGGGTGTCCGACCCATATGACCCTTGGAATCGGGATCTACATCGTGTCTACGTAGCAACAACTGGACGACTTCTGCTTTTGACCGCTCGACAACAAGAGATAGGGCCGTGTCACCCATGGCATCCTTCCGACCGGCGTTTATGTCGTGCCGTGCCAGCAAGAGGTCGACAATGTCCATACTCCCCCGCCCGGCCGCAAGCAGGAGAGGTGTTTGACCAAGTTGATCTTCAGCATTGACGTTTAGATTCTGCTTTGAAAATAGCAGTTTCGCGATCTCTTTTCTCTCCCACTCAATTGCACGTAATAGTGGTGTATGGCCATGATTGTTCTGCGAGTTGATATCCACATCATCTCTTGCTAACAGCAGTTGAACAATTTCAACACTCCCTAGCGTAGCTGCAACGACAAGAGGTGTACAACCCGAGCAATCTTTTGAGTTAGGATTCACTTCATGCCGTGCCAACAACAACTCCACGATTTCCACAAGCCCCTTGCTGGCTGCAAGCCATAAGGGGGTCCTGTCCCATGCATCCTTCGAGTCAGGATATACCTCGCGCCTTCCCAGCAGTAGCGTGACAATATCTACACTCCCCGAGTTAACTGCGAGAGAGAGGGGTGTCTGACCCTGTTGATCCTTGATCTCGACATTCACACCTTCCTTTGCCAACAATAGCATAACCATTTCTATATTTCCTAGTTGGGCTGCAAGGGAGAGAAGCGTCTTTCCCGTGCCATCCGTTGCGTTAGGGTCCAGATCATGCCTTTCCAATAACAGCTTAATAACTTCAATACTCTTCAACTCAGCTGCGAGCAAGAGGGGTGCTTGACAGTGCTGATCCCTGGAATTGATATCTATGTCGTCCCTTGCCAACAACAGTTTCATGATTTCAATATTCCCCTGCTGCGTCACAAATGAGAAAGCTGTCCTGCCTATGCAATCTTTCGCGTCTGGATCCAGGCCGCTCCTTGTTAGCAGTAGCTCAACTATGTCCACACTGCCATCCATGGCTGCAAGCATGAAAGCTGTCTGACCATGCTTATGTCTGGTATTTGTGTCCACATCGTCTCTGGCTAGCAACAGCTTGACCACTGCCATGCTACCCTGCTCGACTGCGAGAAAGAGTGGTGTCCTACCCATGTAATCCTTTGAATTTGGATCTACCTCATCCCTCGTCGATAATAACTTGACTGCCTCCTCGGCTCCTGCCTTGGCCGCGAATGAGAGGGGTGTCCTATCCATGCGGTCCCTTGAGTCGGGATATACTTCATGCCTGGCCAACAGTAGCTTAATTACTTCCACGCTCCCCTGTTCGGCGGCAAGGGAAAGAGGCGTCCTACCCATGTAATCTTTAGAGTCGGGATACACCTCATGTCTGGCCAACAGTAGCTTAATTATCTCCACGCTCTCCTGTTCGGTGGCAAGTAAAAGAGGCGTCCTACCCATGTGATCCTTAGAATCGGGATCTACACCAGCCCTTTCTAACAATAGCTCGACCACTTCCGCGCTCCCGCGTTCAGCAGCAAGCGCGAGGGGAGTCATACCCATACGGTCCTTCCAATTAGGGTCTACATCGTCTCTTGCCAACAATAAGTTAACGATCTCCACGTTTCCCCGCTCGGATGCCAACGAAAGAGGCGTCATATCCATATGGCACTTCCAATTGGCATCTACTTTAGGCTTTGCTAGCAACAACCTAACGATCTCCAAATTATCTTGCTCAGCTGCAAGCGAAAGGGCAGTCCGGCCATTTTTGTCCCAAAAGTTGGTATCAACATCATGCCGTGTTAACAATAGCTCGACCATCTCGGCACTCCCTTGTTGGGCTGCAAGCCAGAGGAGTGTTCTACCAGTGCGGTCTTTCCAGTTGGGATCTGCATCATGCCTCTCCAGTAATAGTGTAACTATCTTTCCGTTCTCCTTCTCGACTGCAAGTGATAGAGCTGTCTGGCCGTGTTGATCTTTGGAGTTTATATCCACATCATGTCTTCTCAACAGCAGTTTTACCGTCTCTACAGTTCCCAACTCAGCTGCTAGGGAGAGTGGCGTCCTGCCCATGTCGTCCTTCGGGTCAGCAACTATATCATCCCTCGCCATCAGCAGCTTGACGGTTTCGACGCTACCCTGCTCGGCTGCGAGCAAGAGCGGCGTGACACCCATGTAGCCCTTCCAGTTGGGATACACATCTTGCCTTGTCAACAGTAGCCTGACGATCTCTGTTTTCCCCTGCTCAACTGCAAGCAAAAGGACTGACATGCCCTCGCGACCTTTCCCACTGGGATCCAAGTCATGCCTTGCCAATAACAAAGCGACGATCCCCGCATGACCCTGTTTGGCTGCGAGGGAAAGGGCGGTCTGGCCAGAATTATCCTCGAAGTTGACATCTATATCATGTTTTTCCAACAGCGATTGGACTATCTTCACGTTTCCTTGCTCAGCTGCAAGCAAAAGGGGTGTTGGACCCATACCGTTGCCCCAGTTGATGTCCACATCATCCTTCGCTAACAGCAGCTTGACTATTGCCACATTTCCCCGATTGACAGCAAGCGACAGAGGTGATTCCCCATAATGTGCCTTAGAATTGACATCCACGTCACTTCTCGCGAGCAATAGTTGAATCACCTCTATGTCTTCATATTTTGTCGCGACGATAAGTGCAGTACGCCCATACCTGTCCTCAAGGTTGACATCCACTTTTTGGTTTGCCAATAGCAACTGCACGACCTCCATATTTCTCTGCTCGACCGCCAGTAAGAGGGCTGTCCGATCGTCTTGCTCTTTGGCATTTACATCGACGTCGTGTTGTTTCAAAAGCGCTTTAACAACATCCGACTTCTTATTCTTAATCGCAGTGACAAGTGGAGTGTTGCCATATCCGTCTCTTGGATTCATGTCGTGGCCTCGCTCAAGTAGTAAGCTCACTACCGCTACACGCCCTTCTTTTGCTGCGAAGTGCAATGGTGTTCTACCCCATTCGTCTCGTTGGTCTATGGTTGCGTTGCTGTCCAGCTCGAATCCGATGGTGCGAGCCAAGCCGAAGAAGGTGCATAGATGCAAAGCTGAGCCCCCACTGATACCCAAGCACTTCAAAGCTAAACTGACTTTCTCTTTGCGATGAAGAAAATTGTGTATCAAAGCTTTATTCGCTTCTTCAGCAAGGCCGAGGGCATGATGCCCCCAATTCCATATGGCATAACGAAAGAAGGTTCCATTGGACACCCAGCTATCCATACTTTCTGACGGTAATAGGAGAGCTTGTAAGCAGATCTTGGTAACTTCTGAACGAGGGTCCATGAAGGGCCAGTCCTTGTATTCGTTGAAATACTCTTGGGCAGTGTAATCTCCAGGGGAAAAGTAACGAATGAGTACAACTGACATATAAAACGTGGTTTAATAAACTCACGAACCAAATGAAACTTGCTTTCTTTTTCAACAACCAGGCCTAAACAGATATCCGTTATCAGGGAGGGGTCCACCAAATTTTCATCGTCGGCACTGGAAAGGTCATCTGAACATGCCAGAGCTTGCTGGAGCTCCTTGATAGTCAGAGGATGTGAGGCATAAGTGATTAGCACTATGGCTTCTATGGCAAGTATTTGATGCTTCTCGTCCAGCTCATGGATGCGTTTCATTGTTTCATCATAAGCGCTGTTCACACCCTGCGGTAGGCTTTCGAGAGCGAGTCGAATCTCCTTACGAGTAGTCTTCTTTGCGAGAGAATCCATGTGCAGACGACATAGTAGAAACCTTGCGGATACGTTGACCTTCAGCCGATAGAACAACAGTTTAACAGAAGACACTCACATTCCACGTGCAACTTCTATAATACGCCGAAAAATCTCTTCTCGTAAAACAGGGTCTTCAGCCAAGAGTCGGTCTAGGCGCGTGAGTCGTGTCCCTGAATGAATGCAACCTTCGATGTACTCGCGTATATCACCCTCGTGGGCAGAGATATCCATAAGCTGCGCATCACGAAGAGCTGCCGCAATCGAGGCATTGTCACGAGAAGTAACCAGCAAACTACCTCCTAAAGATTGGAGTCTGTGAAGTAGTTCAGAACGGATGTCACCATCCTCGGGAATTTCATCCAAGGCATCTATAATTATGAAAACCTGGGAAAATTGTTGGATCTCTGTTATTAATGTGCTGTGAACATCATGCAGAGTGGGACGGTAGTTTTGAGCGAGGTGCCGTTCATAATGTTTGGTAACGCGTTCTGAGGTAGTGGGAAAATCTTGGACGAGCTGCTTCAAAAGATATGCTACGAGATTATAAACCGTTTGCAATGCCTGATCTTTATAGTTGCAATATAGGTATGCCACAGCAACACCGTCGACCTCGTTCCGTCTGAGATGGTCGATAATGTATGACCTGGAAACGCAAGATAATTAACTGAGAGCAATCTACCGTTTGTTGTCTTACTCACGCAAGAACCGTCTTACCAGCCCCAGCTTGAAGAAAGTAGACGTTTGATGATTAGCTGCTACCGTGAAAATAGTGATGATGTACTTACGAATACCAGGGCACCATAATGTTTTTGTCTTGCCTTTTTTCCAGTCCTGAAATCTCTCGTCTTCAAGTACCCATTCCCCAGTTCCCTCTCTCCGACTTCCGTAAATTTCACTGTGTGTCTGCCGAAAATTCAGAGGAGATAGCCATTCTGCGAGTTCTGGAGGATCAGGAACTGTAACTGTGGCGAGATTAGACGAGAACTGAACAAGAAATGTGCATCGTACGAGGAGCAAAGAATTGGGTGATTGCTGCATTACTATTGATATGATTGTTGATTTGCTTTCCATGACCGTGAATCTCGTTGAAAGCACTACCACGAGCGTCCACGGTAGCGACTGGCCAGCCTGGCCTATTTACTAGATGCATGACACCTAAAGCTCGTCGAGATCCGATTCAGGCTCCCGAAGCTTCAGCTTGAATCTCGCCGAACAGCGATTGCGACCAATCGTTAAAAATTACACTGCGAAAGACGTGGACCCTGCGATACTTGTGATCGAAAGGTGCTGAAAAACACTGGTCACAGCATAGAAGCGCCTGTACAGCAAGTTGAAACGTGGTCTGAGCGCGCCAATCCTTGGCGCTTTATCGGTGCATTCTTGCGACCAGGAAGTTGATGACATGTATATGGCTAGCGCTTTCAAGCTCTACCGTTCAGAGTCGCACATGCAAATTTTTCTCGATTTCAAGACAGAATGCAGAGATCTCGAGACGTGGATAGTGCAGATGGACCATTTTGGTGGGAAAAGTAGAATCCGAGTCTCGGCATCGAGCGAATACTTCATTGAATCATGAGCAAGCCTAGTCAAACTCATACTGCTATTTAAGAGAACTCGCTGTCCACGATACACGATATACGAGTACGGTCGATAGAACCATCTGCTAGTCTTCCGCAACAGTAAGTCTAATTCAAAACTAACAGAATGTACTTTCCACATATCAATGGCTATTTTTATTTTGCAAGCATTCATATGCTGGTTCAAATATAGCGAAGACCAACGAAGCAATTACTAGCCTAGTAGCATGGCCTATAGTGAGGGGGGAGGGGAGCGCACTAAAGGCTCAAAGCGGATGTGATACCAGGTTCGGCCTAGCCATGCACATACTCGCTCTGCGTGCCAAATACGCAACTCTTGGCCGATGTCTGCTCGGCGAGCATGCATGTATCCCCTTATGACCCCAGCTAGCATATTTTTTCGACAGCTGACCGTGGCCGCCGTCCCACCATCTCTCCCCTGAATATGGGCGGGATATGCTTACCAGTCTAAGATGCTCAAACATCACACAGTGTCAGCGGTCACCGTAAATGCCTGGGCGTCACTTAGCACGGTTTTCTCAGGTTTCCTTTGTCCTGATATTCAAAGGGTCTGAACGTGATTGAGTCCAGTTCATTCATGTGCATGAACACCGATATCACCCACATACCAGTGAGACGTGTTCAAAGTGTGATCAAAAACTCTTAAGGAATCCACTGGACCGCACTACTGACTGGCACAGGAATATGACGAAGAATATAAACCATGTTACTCACCATTAATAGCGCTGGCGTCTTATGCAGTGATTACAACGAAGTTCGAGAGATAACATTCATATAAATATTGCACGGTTGTGTAGACCGGTAGATGGCATACATGAGATGTAATATCAATGAATAACTGGTACTTGCTGCAATGCCCTTCAAAGAAAACCGTAAGCTTAAATAAAAACATCACAGCACAGTCGGGCCTCCTAATTCTGATACTTAGGTGAGGGCCACTTGCGATCCACACAAAGATACATGCCCCGCTAAGTAGTCGCACCGCACTCATTCTGATCTAAGTAATGAACACCTGGTATTGTATGAGACTAGTAAAAATGACCGATCGGGTAATAAAAAAAAACTGATTGTGCATGATAGAACCATAAGAAGCAAAGAACGTTGAGACGTGAAGCCGAAATAGATATTATAAAAAGAATGATAAGGTGCGTGCCAATTTTTAGAGCTTGACAAAACATATAACCGATCAGCCTCACTGGCCTTGATGTGAAAATTCCAACATAGCTTGGCGAGCCGAACTCTGTCTAGATAGCTAAATCGGCTTGACTTCCACGACAAGAATACAAGGTATTTGCAGAGTGGGGTATAGTTGCGGAACGTAATGACGAACTGGGGACATTACTGGTGTTCCAGTTTCACTCGAATCTTTGCCTGCCGTCGACGCCTTTCCACGAGAAGGTAGCTCACTGATACAACCATCTATCAATATACAGATGCTTCCCGGAGATGTCCAGACTGACCTATAATTTTCTCCAGTGCAGCAGTGGCTTCTGGTTTGACTTCGAGCCAGGCGTATTGCGACATACGGAATATGAAAAAGTGACGGCGATAAGGGTGATATTCTGCGATGGGCACTTTGTCCTCATCGTCACTTTTCACAAGCTGTGAAGTGCGATCAGGTCGCGAATGGGCAAAAGTACACGATCGAACACTTACTTGAAGATATCTTTTATGCGTTTTCCATCGATACTCAATACCATCACCAGCAACAAACGTTCCCCCGCTAGTCAATTGTGTCAGCAAGATGGATTTTATACGTATTCCAGGGGGTTCCGGACTCACACGTTCGACCCATCGCATTTGATGAACTCTGATGCCTTTGTCCAAGGCCCTTCACTCTCATCAGTGTTGAAGCGAACTTTAACCTCCTTCTTTGGAAGAGCCTCGATCTCAGCGACGCAGGTCACCACACGGGCCTCGTAGTCGAATTTGTTAATTTTGGTGAGATGAGGATGCCAGAATCGAGTAACAATCTCGTAGTAGAACTTGTCATTATCGACGGCTAGCGTAGTGTTACGAAGACTGTTCGTGGCGAATTGTATCCTATGGGGTGGGTCGGGCTTCTTGGGAGGAGGCATAGAGGCAGAAGGAGTGCAGCCCAGGTATGACTGTGGAAGATAGAGGGGAATCGCAGTGTCCAGGCGAATAACTTGTGCGGGTAATAAGCTAGTGAAAAAGGGACAGGGCGCCGATGGTAAGCCGTCGATTGTGTGAACAGAAATGACAGGTCCGGAATAGAATGTCACAAACCGCAGAGCAGCACAGGTAATGCCTAGGAAAAGTGGCCACCTTGTCTGGGGATGGGAATTGTAGGATAACCGCAGATGGGAGTAAACGGAGTTCTGCTGGCGGATGATCGCCTAGCTACGAAACGTGGTCATGATCATAGCCCTATAATGTACACTCTAGATCATGACAGCAAATAGGGAGTCTGCCAATTATAAGAATGTTCTCATACAAACGTGCAGCCGCTCACCGGTCAGTCCGGAAACATTTTCGAGCTGGGTCAAAGATGGGAGCGAATTGGCTGCATTTGCTAGCGCGGGTGTGAGAATCATACTGGTATTAAAAATGTAAAGTAAGGACACAGCATAATTAGCTCGTTCCTTAATACAGAGCAGACCAAGTGACAGGTTGGATGAAGTGTAGGACCTGTACTGAGCGCTTTGGAAAGACCTTTCCCAACTGTAGACTCGCCAAGGCTCTAAGGAGATTTTGAAACGTCGGTAAGCGCTCGCAACGCTGAAAGAGCGATCAAACACCGTGTCAGTTCATCATATAGCACCGCTTGATACAGAAATAATGTCAAAAGCTCTTGCATATGGATAGAAAGCCTTGATGAAAGATGGGCTGAGTCTCAGTGGTCTACTACAGAACAGATGGGCGCACACAGTATCAAGGCACTCGGCGGGCACACAATACGGCCCTACACCTAACCCTACATACACCTAACCCCAGTGCTGCAGCCTGAGAGAACCCGTCTTGAACCACCATCGGTATTTTCGTGTAGTGCACTTCATGCTGTCCAATCTGTCTTTTGCACCTATCGGTAGATCCACACCACCACGCCGAGACAGCAGCCCAAACCAGAATTCAGATAAAACGGCGATTTTTCTGGCATTAGACGATGACTTGCGAGACATTCGCCGCGTGCACAGTCAAGGGCAAGAGGAGGATCTCAGGCATGCATTGGATCGAGTTGTCAAAAGAGTAGAAGAGTTTGTACGTTGGCCCAGCGTCTATCTTAACAAAACAAGCTTACCCAATCTCTCCTAGTCTTCCCTACTCAAGGAAGCATACAAAACACAAACCGAGCTCGAGACGTCACTGAATCTTGCAAAGTCTAATCTTCAACTTGTCATTTCCAACAATGAAATGCTCGAGGAGGCTCTCAAGCGAGATAATTTCAACGGTAAAGATGTGGGCTGGCGCCGTTGGAGTGCTCGCGAAGTTCAGCACCGACAGGCAAGTTTAGAAGAGGAACGCCCTAGAAGCTTAGACTACGGTAATCTAAACGAAGAGGGAACTCCATCTCAGCCGTCTAGCGCTTCAAGCGTTAATGGCACCAAACAGTCCTCTCAGAGCCCGTCCCCAGTGACTACTCCTCCGCCAGCCGCTCAAGATACCAGGTTTTTCAAGTTTAGATTCAACAGTGGTACGGCAAAACCATGTACTTGAATATTATAACTGATCCGCCTCTTTAGGAACTCGGTCTCCTGCACACTTGACATCACCCTCTCTTCCCACGCTGATATCTACGGCGAAGGACAAGGAACTGGAAGAACTTCAAGAACAGCTTGAGCGCGAACGCAAGGCTCACCAAACGACTTCTGCTGGCAAGGCAGCGCTGGAATCTGAGCTCGAGTCCCTTTCTCAAGCGCTCTTTGAAGAGGTAACCGTCACAGCGGGTCGTGGTCGCAATACGTCATCTAATTCCTATCACAGGCGAATAGGATGGTAGCATCGGAGCGCATCAAGTGTGCAGAAACGGAGGAAGAACTACGAGAGGTCCGCTCAGAAAAAGAGGCACTCCGAGAGACTCTTCGGCTTATCGCACAAGATAACGGTCTGCGCGTCAACAGCGTGATCCCAGCGACGTTTTCAGATGACACCATACTTTCTTCGTCTCTATCGTCGCATTCACGTTCGTCGTCGCGCGAAGCCATGAAATCCCCCCCTCTATTGTCTCCGTCTACAGATCATTTCTCTCCTACTCTCGATCTATCCTTTAGCGAGAAACAGGAGTTGGATGATGAAAAGACCATAGGTGGTTCATCCTACTTCTCAGATGCCCCGGAACATCCCATAGATTCTGCACCAGTGACACCCCCTACAGTATCTCGGCCTCATAGTCCTTCGAGAGTACCTCCTGTAGAAACGAACGAACCCACTGATGGTTCTCCTGTTGTGTCGAGCTCAATTAATCCTCCAGCGCTCGACTTTATATCTGAAGAGCCTTCTCCATGGGCGAGTGTGGCATCCTCTAACAGCCCTCCTCGGGAATCGGCATCCTTATCGTGACCTGGGAGTACTGTCTGCGGTACCGCACACATGCATTTCTTAGGTGTCAATGTTTGTCGGCCATCCTCCATTGTAATGGTGTCAAAGATATGTGCACATTCTAGTGACTCGAGTGTACAAGAGCTGGCACTATTGTACGACTCATAAAACTTCTATTTAATTGTTGGCGCTGTGTTTCTTAGGTCGATGAAATTCTGTCCCCGCTCTTCCCATCAACTTACCGCTGTGTCCAATCTTCCTTCTGTAGTTAGTAATAGCAAGGACTCCTTCCTCTCCCAATAGTATACCAAAAATTCTGTTTTTACTTTACGATAAAAGCATCAATTTTCATTATATATCTACAACCGTGACGAGCATAAGCAATCTGGTCAAAAAAAAAATACAAAACACATGAAATTGTGTCAGATTTCGTCGACCTACGTGGTGTCAAGCAAAGCAAACCTCGATGATTGAAGCAATACTTCGAATACATACTCTTTGCATATGTCAATCGAAGAACGAAGCAAAGAAGTGGGGATCAGAAACGGTTAGCTGGGGGGGAAAACGCTACTTGTGAATTCATGCCTCGGACATCGTCACATCTAATGCCGACAAATCTCCTTCCGCATTATCCTCTTCCTTCGACATGTCAACTTCTTCTCCTTCAGCTTCAACCTCTCCCTCTGCTTCAGCTTCAGCCTCAGCTTCACCCTCGGCCTCAGCCTCTGCTTCTGCCTCTGCTTCTGCCTCCGCTGGAGCTTCAGCCTTGTCATCTGTTTGCATCTCGACTTCAGTACCACCGTTCGCAATCTCTGCGGTCTCTTCATCAGTTTTGATGGCATCCTGAGCTCCTGCCTCTGGTTGACTCGTTTCGTGAGCTGTTGCAGTGCCATTAGTGCCACTGTCGACTCCATTCTCGTGTGACTTGGACGATCCCAGGATGGCGTGCCATTTATCAACTAAGGTTCTAGCTCTGTCTCGGAAATGGAACTCCTCATCTCTTGGTACCCTTTCCGCAGAGAGTGCTGCAATGTGGCGCATCACTTTACCAATCTTAGAGAACTGTATAGAATATCAGGGAAGAAATTCATGATCATAACCCAAATTTGAGCGCACCGAGAGATACTGGATGTTGATATTTTTGTAGCTTTCCACCATGGTGAATAACTCATCAAGGGCTGGCATGTCCTTCCACAACGCAAAAAAATTGTGAGACAGGCAAATACATCTGGATCGTGAATAGCAGTACCTCGTCTTTGGGAATACCCTTGTTGCTCAAAAGAGCCTTCTGCAGTCTGTGCCGCCATTCTCTGACTTTCCGCGCTTCAGGGTCATCCTCTAATGCGGCTGGTGGGAAAATTCAGGGCTTTTGCCCGCGCTATAGCAAGAAAACAACGCACCATCGGTTTCGTCGTTGTCCTTTTCTCGTTTAGTTTTCTTAGCTGGTGGGGGTGGAACTTTCTGGCTAGGACCTGCGTCGTCGTCTTCGGCTTCAGCTTCCGCGTTATCGCCTTCGTCCTCTGACTCGACCATTTCTTTGGATTTGGTGCCATTCTTCTTTCCCTTTGATGACACAACTCCCTTCTTTTTACCAGTCGACTCCTCAGAGTCCTTTTTTGGCTTACTCTTGGCCTTGGCCTTGGCGGGTGTGGCTTCAGACTCCCGTTTCCTCTTCTTCGATTTTGCAGGCTTTGGCTCTTCGTCATCCTCATTCTCGCTGTCTAACTGGTCGACTTCGGCATTTCCTTCCTGTTCAGCTGCATCTAATTCAGCAGCCTCGCGCTCCTCCTCCCATGGCCGAGGATTCAGAGCGATACGATACCCCGATAGGAGGTCACCTGATCGTTTGAAGGGCTCGTTAATGTAGGCTTGAATCTCGTGGGTCTGTAATTTGGATATATCTTTGGCGACCAACCATGCACTATATAGTCATAGAATGCAAAGAGTTGATCATTAGAATAGCATGGATATTCACGAAATAGGAAGCTCACTAGTCTCCTGCTGGAAAAAACCTGACACAGTAGAAAGTGGTCTTTTTGCTGGAAGGACGTTCCTTGCCAACCAGAGGCGGTACGTTATCAGGATCTACAACCTACAAGTTCAGAAAAAATATGAGCCAAGTATGACATTAGCACTGAAAGGGCTTGCATTGAAACGCGACTGAAACCAAACGCACCATGCCTGGCCAAGGAGGAAAACCGCGTACTTTGGCGAGTACGATGTCGCGGATAGCATAACTGGAATCTTGCTTCTGATTTTTTCCACCTTTTCCGCCCATTTTGAGGACGGGGATGCAAAGAATAAAGCAGGTGCGTGAAAGATAAAACGGTGGTTGGGGAGCACGAAGGTTCAGCTCGGCTATTTCCATCCGCGCCATCCCTCGTTTCGTTTGCCACGCGGGCCCGTGCGACGCACGAAAAATTCTTCCGAGAAAACTCAAAAAAATCAACAGCAAATCAGCCTGGCATTGCAGAGTATCGCATTGAAAATACATGCAACTAAAAACATTAGAACGTAGCAGATATTGGCAAGAAACCCTTCTATCCCGTCCATTATTTTTTTGCAGCGTGAGGTGCCACGAATTGTTTATTGGGGCGAGGCAGGTCCGCATATGCGATGCGTGGTCTGTTTGTGCACGGCCCGACAGGCTGGTTAATGAGCTGGAGCCTCCAGTATCGCAGGCGACGGTGCAGCCTGAGGCCAGCATGAGAGACGTTGATCCACTATCACATGTCGGTCGGTGACGATCTATTTTCCTAGCCGTACAGCGCAGAAAGGCCGGGCAGCAGGATGTACAGTGCGTTACTCGGACGTCGATATACAGATCAAGGAGGGTCCTGCATGCAATCATGAGTACATGGCCATGTCAACAGTCCTTCAGGTAGACGGAACATCAGTTGAATGAAGAAAAAAGAGTGATTGCACGAGACGCACCACTACATCTTATTGCTCCTTCGAACCGACAACCAGCGGACTGGCCAGCATTTACTCGACATGATGATCCTCCAAACATGTATTGCAGTGCGAAAACGCCATTGGATTTGAAGAGGCCAGCGAAGCCTCGTCACCCGGTAAAGTACCTCGATACAGAGAGCACCAGTGATAGACGGCTGCGCTGACGAAATCACAAGGGCTGGGCAGTCGACTGAGATCTACAAATGAGACAATTCATGGATCCAGTATAAAAAGCGTTGCACAGATGACCTGATTCTTTTGTCGTGTTGCCAGTGATGGTGTCAAGAGCAAAGCGACATGGGAAACTAAAAGGTGTTTTTAGAAAAAGCGAGGAGGCAAATTGAAACAATTCAGACATGGCCTTAGCACTTCGGAGTGTTCCTAAAACTTGTAAGATAAACGCGGCAAAGTAGCAGCCGATAGTTATTTTCTATCCCTTCAGCTGCAGAAAAGGTTGTATGATTGGTGGGGTAATCACATCATGCTTAAAAACGCAGTAAAATAGCAAGGAAAGAACTCCTGATAGAACATATTCCGTCCTATCACGCTACCCTTGACGGTGAACCATCCACGATAAACCCTCAAGGCCTCAAGCTTCATGTACGAAAGCTATTATGTACAACAGGTTGGATGTCCCTTTTACTCGTTCCTCACTGTCCTTGGGAGTCGCAATACACCAGACTACTCGTTTCCTTGCCTGATCCCAGTGTAAAGCATCTGGTGAGGCACCAGCGTGCTCCAGAAGACGTGAATATGCACTACAGGGCAGTCTAGCGAGTTTCTCCTACCCTTCAAGCAAGATTAAAATGGCTGGTCCAGTCAAAGACGATCTCAAGGTGGTTCAAGTGGCTGTCATATGCATACGGTAAGATCAAATGTGGCTTCGATATGAGGCTTCGCTGTTTCGGAGTTTCAAAATGGGCCGTTGAGCTCTTGACTGGAACGTCCCGAGCAAAGAGAACTACAGAAACATGTTTGAGCCTATACGGGGAGGAACTCGAGGAGGTCAAGCAGAATTCAAGTGGTCAGATGTATCCGCAGACAAGGACAGAGAAGTATGGACCTCATACTTGTTCACGGGCAACAGCTAATTTCAATCCAGAACTATCTAGGGCACAGTATCAACGCACCTACGGGCAGATGGCAGAAAAACAAAGATATTCATTGGTACAACAGAGAAGCAAAACAAACTGATGCTGAAAGAGATGAAGAAATAAGGAAAATCAAAGAGGCAGAGGCGGAGGCATTGTCTGCAGCACTGTAAGTCTCGCAGTACCTGCGTCTACACCGAGCTAAGCCCTGTTATCTCGTAGAGGATTCGCACCAGCAGCACCGAAAATACCAGCTGAATCTCCCACTGCTATCAAGTTGGGAGACGAAGTAGCGGATACTGAAAGTGCCCAGCGAGCTGCAGAGAAAGAAGAGAGACGGCGAAGGAAGGCTGAACGTAAGGAAAAGCGTGCCCAAAAAGAGGCTCGCCGTGTTGGGCGTGCTGAGCGTGACCTTGACGACACTCGACGCTACGATCACTCTCGTTCCCGTTCTCCCAGGCGCCTGACAGACGAGCACGCTGAAAGCAGGCACCGCTCTCGTCATAGTCGTTCTCCAACTCCACCCCAACGTGGCAGACGTTCTCAATATGGACACACGTCCGGTTATGATGATGTCGAGCGAGAAAAGGAAAGACAGAGAGATCGGCGGCGATGGGAAATGAACTCCCAGAGAGATAGGCCAGGTGCTCGCTGGGGACGTGATTAACCTGGTGTTCAGTCAGAGTATGTCATTATTCGTGTTTTCTGTCCTGAAATATATTTATCCTGTCCCACGTATGGATCCTTCTTGTCAGATACCCCACCGCACTAACTCAGCGCGCGAGTCTTCCTTGTGCCGATGAGAACAGCGCAATACGCTGACGTCTGGTAGTTCTCATATGAAGTTCTCTGGTTTCACCGCCGTGAGCTGTGCCGCCTGGTCAGAAGACAAACAAGGGGCGTATTCTCGAAATCAGTCAGTTATGTCATTATCAAGTCTTGATGTAATGATGGCTTCTGCATGATCACCGGTAACTCTTGATATGCATAGACTTACACAGGTGATGATTAGCAGATGTCATGCAGGGACGATATGATATTTTACATTAGACTATAGTTACCAACGCAGCAAATACATAGGCCCTGAGGGGGTTCAGTCTGGTTTCTATCTTGCAGTAGAGTTTGTCCTCCGTGAAGCCCGAGCTTATCAAGCTGCACTTTTTGTCAGCTGGAGGAACGATTCATCCATTAGGATTATCTTTGCAACAATGTATCCTATGGTTCGAAAGTCCTGTGAATAACCATCATCCATCATATCAAAAAGTCAAGGTTTCCCAGCAAGTCATGGGAAAGAGAACCACTGGCACTAGCGACGCGAAGTCAAAGATGGGAACAGCAGTGCCGTAGGCTCAGTCATCTCGGCTTTCGGTTTTCTAACCGCTGAATGTGTTCGTCAATGCGCATACCTCTTTCGTCGATATCATAGGCAGTTCACATCCTTTTCTTTAGTCTGCATTGTGATCAGCACGCGGCTTAGGTACGTCCTGTTTATATTTGCTGCTATTTCCTTGTCTTGACAAGCGCTCACACACGCGATAACATGGCGTGCTGATCTCTATTTCCAAATGATACCGGCCAAATTGAATTGCGGTGATAGGGGACACGATTCCATGCTGTGTACGTACTCAAGACCTTGGGAAATATCGAGAGGAAAGGTCGCTATTCAGCAGACGTGGTCTGTTGAATGCCACAGGAATAGCTGGTCTATCTGCGTTAAATATCTCGGAGAGTGGAGGACTTGGTCAAGATCCTCACTTCATGTAGTCACGCAATGACATCAGCTGCTTGCCCGATCCCTCCCTGGTGCCTTCAACGTGTTTCTTCGGGAGCTTCTTACACACAATCGGTTGGTAATATCTATGTGCGGCTGTGCTTCAACAAGCTTCGAAGCGCTTCGTATGTGCGGTTATCGTGCATCAGTTCCCTTCATCATGTCGTACGTGCCAGTTTTGGTTAGCACCTGTCCTGCTATAGTTGCAGAAATACTCCATGGACCACCTTGGACCCCCGACGAATAATTACTATACTCACGGTTCAGAGTACTCAACAATCGCCCTCTTTTTCGCCCACCATGACTCACTACGGCATGCCATACTTGCTGGAGGACAAGACGGGGGAGCTCAGTGGATCGGATTTTAACGACCTGAATGATCGTATGTGTCTCAGGTTGCGTTGTACGGCCCGAGAGTCCACCCATACCGCATACATGATATTTGACATAACACATCACTCCGATGGATTACAGAAGCCCCTAGCAGCCCTTGATTTTGGTCCGAATGAATCCTTAGGGACAATATCATATAGCTCGGGGAGTCAGATTCCAATGAAAGACTATCTCATGAAGTTGTCTACGTTTGGAAGGTAAGACTCTGGTGGTCACTAGATCCGTTGATCAGTCTCATCATGCATCATGGCAGCTCGAAGGCAAGGAAGTTTGTTGGTTCTGACGGACAGGAGTATCGATGGAACTGGCGGATTACGAAAGATCAAGAGTGGACAGTGAGTTGCTAGATTTCGGCCGATATCGTCTGTATATCTTGGCTCATGTACTGTGCAGTGCACCAATTCTAGTGGATATACCGTGGCAGACTACTCTCTCAAACTTCCGGGAGAACCGGAATACGTCAGTTCCTCGGGATGCATGTTCACTATTGATGAAGCCTTTCCGCACCTGGCAGCTGGTAAGCTTATAGATGTTTCATTGCGATCACGTCTGAACGGTTGCTGTTGTTAAATTTTCAAGAATTCCTGGCTTCTTTAACCATTATGCGGCATATTGTAGCCCACAGCTTGTAATATTCCTGGAATCCTCTGTCAAATGGGGAGCTACTATCTGGCTCTCCGTTGTATTTGTTTTACTGTGACGAGTATCATGTTGTGTATTAGTATTCTTAGCCTTGCATCTGTATTCTTTGTACTACCCCTAGCAAATACGCCTATTCAATACAAAAATAAGGTTAGAGACTGTGAGAAAAAAAGAAATAGCTACAGGATACCGCGTTGTTTTTAGGGACTCTAGTCTCACACCCCAGGCAACAGAGTTTTATTATCGCACTAACTTCACCCACGGATGACTTCTCGAATTCGAAGGGCACGTGGTTTACAATTTACTGGTACTTTTAGTTCACGTCGCAATCACCCAGCTCATCGGTATGGATAATACATTTAACACTATATACGTGATTTAAGGCTTCATCCGAACCGCTACCTTCACGCAGCATGCTTCAACGCAATCTCAAGTTTCAGTTTGATACTTAAAGTTTCCACCACCATTTCGAACCTACTAAGTCACATGACGGACATATACAATTATGTAATTATATAGATCTGATCTTGGGGGTGGCGTTAGACTTTTTTGTGCTGATCGCTCTGAAAATTTAAAAAGAGGAAAGAGACAAAGGAGGTACTATCTCAACCTTGTCTTCGTACTCACACGTATATAGAGCCAGTCAAATCGGGACGACCATACAGAGTTCACAAAAAAAAAGCAGCCATTGTTGGTTGCCATCTCAGTCTATGAGTAAGAAAAGGCCGGTAATACAACGATTGGCAGGAACAGCATGTCATGACCCACCAGCGCACCAGCGTTTATCTATTGCTTGTGATTATGTTACATACCGGACTCACGTTCACCTACGCCGCTAGGCTTCCTAGGCTGTATGGTTTATCCTGGCTCACTGCAACTGAACACGGTCTACTATCAGCTCTCTCATATCGCGCCGAGCGTGACTAGCCCCATAAGGTTGCTTGCAGGGCCCCAGCCTATTCGATATCGGTTCCGAGGTTATGAGTCATGTCAGGTCTACGCGCTTATTAGGTGTAACTTTGCTCTTGACCTGGACCCCAGTCTTGAATATTCTTGACCATGGAATTTCCACCCCTCCTCGGCGATGGACAAGGTAGGTATAGAGTTCACATTGTCGGGAACAGCGGTAAGTTCTGTCTCTCTCAGCCTAATTCCGCATCGGTGGCATAATAAATTTAAACTACCGGGCAGGGTCAGGAAAGGCGAGTTATTTATCAAGAAAGCTATTGATTCTGCAGGCTGTGACGAGTTCGAACGTTGCTGTTTAGTCCACCCTGGGAGCGTCGCTCGCTGCCATTCTCGGCATACCCTACATTTGCCTTGACAGGCTTTTCTGGGGCCCGGGCTGGGAGGAGACGCCCCAAGATGAATTTTACAACAAGCTCATCACAGCTCTGGGCCAAGACGAAAAGGGATGGGTCGTCGACGGAAATTATTCACAGTGCACTGCCAACTTGCACGAGCAATGCACAGATATCATATGTGGGTAAAACACCGCCGAGTATTGCATTGCTCAGTGAGTTTATCCTTCCGATAGGGCTCGACCCCCCTCTTCTCCTATACTTTCCCCGCCTCTGTATCCGGACCTTTCTTCGTATCCTTAACGTTAGAGAACCCTGCAGTCCAGGGTGCAATGAGACCATCAGTCATGCCTTCTTTTCTGAAGACAACATCATTTGGTGGTGCCTTAGCAGCCATTGGCGTGTAAGGAGAAAGAACAAAGAAAATGTACGCAACCCGGCCATCGGCGGGAAAATGAGAAGGATCGGAGGTTGGGGTAATGAGTTGATGCTTTGGAAACGCGCTGTCGAGGAGATGGTCCGCCGAACATAGGAGATCATCATATGGGTTTTTTTTGTCAACAACGTGTGGCATACGCCTTGAATATGATAGGAGGTTCCAGAGTATGGTAGGGGGGGCCAATGGGCCAATGTACATAGTCAAGTATACACATCTTCTTTTCGATATGCGCGCTACACGTTAAGACCAGCATTATCCCCATTAACTTCAAGCCGTCATCCATTCATCATTGCCAACTGGTCATCCTGGTCGCGTGCACAGAGCAATAGCGGCCGGGCCGGGCTAGGAGCTCAAGAGGAGATAAACACTCACGAATTAGATGAAAATTCACTGTTAAGGCAATCCAAAAGATGGAATCAGATATGGATGTAGATGTCAATGGATGTGGGGCTGCGGAAACCTAATGGTGATAGTGTAGAAGGTAGGAAAAAAGGTTTCGTGTAAGGTCCGAGTAAAATGAACGTGATATGTAAGCAACGTGATCAATCGCCCCAAGAACATGAGATGGCACCAGCGTCATGGATGGTGAAATCCTCGGATTGCGGAACAGATGCATCAATAGAAGAGTCAGAGGAACCCTGAAATAAGGAAGTCAGACAAACGAGTTCTTTCAATTATGTGTCAACTTACAGCTTGAAGTCCTGACGCGTGTTCTTGCTCTTGAGCCGCATGCGATCGCGGTGTACTTTCTTCCACATATTCATGCCCAGGCTCAGTGTCTAATACGGCGGCGGGGGGCACTTCGTCTTTCTCCAACTCTGGTTCTGTGACCGCAGCTCTGGCCCATCTAACACCTTCTTCTCCAAAGCGACCTAAACGACCACGCCCCCTGGCTTGCCCGCCCCTAGGTGCACCGATGCGTGCCGCGCCTTGCACCAGTTTTACATTCAAGATCGGCCTCCTCGCGTCTGGGTCATCGTCGAATTCGCCGAGAAGATTTAAAGAAGAATCGTCTAAATGCTGGCGCAGAGATGTGCTGGAATAGCTCTTTTGGATAACGCGATGCGGCGATGGAGACCTTTGACGGCTGTCATTGGCCGTACCGCCCGAGACGCTACGAGTTGAACGAGAGGAGGAAGGTTCGCCGAGGACTTGGTTATGCAGATTGAACGGGAATGGGACGGCCACGTTGACCATTCTCCTTTTAACAGAACATCATCAGGGAGGGGAAAGGGACCATATAGCTACGACAAAAGTGGCTGAGTGGAGATAACGACACTAACCCTTCTTTCGACCGAACAACAGTGGTCATGCGCTCTTTTAATTTCTGGTGGTCTATCGCCCGAGGTTGAGGTCTGTGATGAGGATGTATGAGAAAATCATCGGTGTACCGATTGATAGGACACTTGCATGGACACCTCGTCTGCCACCGGAATTAAAGGAGAGCGTTCGTGAGGAGCACCCTGATGGTGCATTTGTGAAAAGAGGTTTTAAAAAAAGGTGGTTTAGACATACATCTGATTCTGAGCGCTGACGGACGCAACAAGAGAACAACAGAGTCCAAAGCGAAGAGGTCATGAAAGCAAAGTTTAGAAAGGCGAGCAAGCATGTTACCGCATTTACTCGGTGTATAGGGTTAGGGTTGAATAATACAGATGTATTTGAAATAAATTAATCAAGTAGTTACATTGGAGATCGAGGTGGAGGATGGAGTTACTAGTTGGAACGCCAAATGACGCATGACAACAGTCTGAAACGTAAAGAGATTGCCTCGGAGGTGGGGAGGGCGTGTTGAGTGCATGCTGTAAAATGCGTGGATCGGACTGGTGAGAAGGGAGAGCAGGGTCACGGAGAGAGGGGGAGAGGACGCAGGATCTGTGGTGATATGAAGAGATCGGTAGCATGGTATCTGATGGAAGGACAGGAGGGGGAGGTGGAAGAGAGCCTATTCGAGGAAGATCGTGGTGAGTGGCGTGGGAAGGGGAATAGCTTCGCGTGAGTTGTAAAATAAATATATGGATATACCTCTGGAGAATTAAAGTTTTTGCGCATAATCGACGTAGCGACCAGGCACAAGTGCACGGTGAGCCCGGTTCCGAGGTTGGACGTTCACGCCCATCAGAAAGAGCCAGTAACTTGGCAGCGGAGAAACATGTATGTTTTTTCAGATTGGGATGTTTTGTTTGTCTGCGCAGAGGGTCCGATTTGGTCGGGCGGATCTGGAGGAAACCTAAATAATTTGTTGCAAAGTGGATGGTTTTGGACATGGCGAGGAATGATATTTGTGTGATCTTCTTTCTGATCTTCCACATTTGCAGGGTTTACATACCGATCCTTTCATAAGCTTCCCTGGAGCACACCGTGGGCATGAGACATTTCCCTCTTTCTCTTTCTTTCTAATCTCGCGTGGCTGGATCGCAAAACAACGCCGCATTAGCAGACCGCATTGTCTTTCTCTTGATCTCCCCTTCATGGTCGCCAGTGCAAACAGCGACGTCTACACTCCTTTTACCCAGCCCATCATGCTCGAAGAAGCCCAGTCCAGCGAGGAAGGTTCCGGTCTTCATTCGCCCATCTTCGGACCACCATTTCCACAGCCGCACGGTGACAGTAGTCGTAAGTCGCTATCATCTCGCAGTCTTTTCAGCACGGCCCACCTTTTCACATGTCTCTCTCAATAAAGTCCGGTATCATCCAGATCACCTCGACATCCAAAATGCCGCTGGAATCCTCGCCTCGCAATTCGACTATAACGGCCTCTCTCTTCCTGTCCAACCAGGCCCCCTCCTCGACTCAACCCTCGACATCCATTCCACCCACAACCACTCCTATCCCTCAGAGTTTCCCCTTCCTCCCCGCACCCAGCTTGGCCTCGACATCCCACACCAGTCCCATTCAAACACCCGCCTTCCCCCGCCTCCCACACACGGAGGCCCAGTCAGCCTAACCTATCACTCATCATCGCAGCGTCGCTACTCTGGAGAACCCTTGCATGAGTCACCGTACTCATCCTCAGGCGGAAACGTCTCAGGGATGCCTGTCGATGGCGACCATCGCTCATCACTTCCCTCATCCAGGCGTGAATCAGTCTCTCAACACGCAACAAACGTCTCTCAAGAACAGCCGCGAAGAGAAATATCTAATCATGTCATAGCTTGTCGCCAATGGTGTGTCCCTTTTGCACTTCTTGTTCGTGCACAGTCTCATGACTCTGTAGTCGTGCGAGAAAAATACGGTGCGACTCAACTCGACCAGTATGCAATAACTGTACTCGTCGGAATAACGAATGTCAGTATGACGCTGTGCCAAAGCGACGTGGTCCTGATAAGCGACCCGGCACACGTCAACGATCTTGTAAGAAGCGACCAGCCGATGGTTCAGAACCCCCTCCGCCACCTTCCAAGAGGAAGCGAACAGCTAGTGGACGTGGCAATGATTCTACAGGGCCGACTTCCTCCTCCATCAAAGAGGAGATGGGCAATGAAACCCTATCACATTCAAGACCTTCAAGCGACTCCAATGGTCAAGTAAGGCTACATCAATCCTCTCTTTCACCTCAGGCCGTCAATTTTTCTCCTTCTGCCCACCCTCGGGCGTTATCGGGGGAAGGTATACTGTCAACGGTATGTTCATCTCGTCTGACACTCTCAGGCCGCGTGGCGTTTGCAGCGCGATTACGCCTCGTTGGGTTTTTCATGGCTTAAATGATCTGGCTAAATAAGACTTCCTAATCATGCACAGCATTCAGACCACAGTGACTCTCGTGACAAGTCCTGCATTCCGCCCACGCCGTCTTCGCAATATAGCCGTAAGGTATGGTGGGATGAGCTTGTGAATAGTTACTCTGCTACCAGAGACCAGTCGTAAGTCCAGTTTGCTGGGCGCCGGAAATAGCAACCCAGCGGCTGACACACCCTTTAGTTTGAAGGACATCGCCGCGGACCTGTCGTCTTTGTGAGTAACCTTTTTTCCGATGTGCTAACCCAGGGCAACGTTGACGTTGCCTCGAAGGTTCTCCTCCACTGCGTATTGGCTCTCCTTCGTCAATGTACCCGACTTTGTCAGGAGCCTATACAATCCCGAAGATCGATCGCTAATGCAGCCATCTCTCGTTTTGTCCGGTTTGGCATTGTCGACCTTGATGAAATCCAGTGAAATGGAACTTGGAGCTACTGGGCGCAGCCGTGCGCTTTGGCTCCGGGATGCTGCCCAGTCGTCTCTAGAGTCTTCATGGACTTCAGGATGGATAGATATGACATTAGCAAAAGCTGCTTTAGTACGTTCGTCATGGTCGTCATCGCAGTTGCATCTAACATTTCAGCATTGACTACGTAGATACTAGCCCTGTTCGAATCTTCTTCCCATCCACAGCATTCGCCCGCCCGTGCGAGATCCTCCCTCGTCCTCCTCGATAATATTATCCGTGCACTTTCTTTAACTTTCGTGGATGCAAACGAGCCCGACGTGTCGACTTTTACTCCCAATACAGTGCCCGTAGCCAATCAACGCTCATCTTTGGACCCCATTTCCAAAGAAGGTGCACGTGCATCACAAATGAACACTCGAAAATGCTCTTGCATCCCTCTTCCCCCTGATAGCTCACTCCCTTCCGATCACTTCTCATCTTCTTGGTCGTACACTCCGCCTTGGGATCCCGCGTGGTCACCGGATGAAATGCACAGAGAAGCCTGCAGAAGACTATGTTGGAGCGCTTTGAACCTCGTGTCGAGTTATACCTCACATAGTCTCGCCTTCCGTAAGGAACCGACGGAGTTCTTTTTGACGGACCCGGCAAATGTATGTGCCTTCCCTCCTTATCTTCAACAACCAGTGCTAACTTAGTTTTAGTTTAGATTATTGTTCCCCGGAGAAGTCTCCGAGCGCGCGGCTAGTAATCACAAGTCGCTGTCACCCAAGAATTCGGTTTGGGCGCTTTACTGTCGCAGCATGTTGCTCTGGAGCTTCTGCACCCGTTTGCGCAAAGACACATATACTAATGAACAAAAGGCTGAGTTTGCTCTCGAAGCTTGGTCCGAGACGCACGCCATACAGGATGCGCTGGATGCACATGTGTGCAATCTGGATACGGCACTCCTGTACATGTGCCGAGAATATGTTTACAAGTATGTATTCCTATGCTGGCGCTTTCGAAGAACATAGCGCTTATTGCCCTATGGTGGAATAGCACACAGATGACTATTACACAAACCTTGCGCAGGTTGGTCCCACCTTCGAACGTGTACGTTTTTAGATGCCTTACTCGATACCCTCAGCTTACACGGTTTGGATAGTGGAAGCACTCCTGCATTCAACCACAAACATGCAGAGGAATGGCGTAAGTCCTACATATAGTTATGTAGTTGTTGGCTAATTATTGGCAATGCAGTGTATTATCAAGCTCAAGTTATCAACCGGGTCAAAACATCTATCAGCCATTTGGGTGAGGCGGAAGGACACCTGTTGACTCGTCGACCGTTCCAAGTCACCTGGTTTGCCAGCCAAGTGGCAATGTAAGTGGTCTGTTAAATCTTTTGCCTAAGCTTTTTTTTCATGCTCCGCTACAGATGTTTGTCGTTATGGGATAACGATCGATCCCTTATCAATGCCCTCGAATTAGCGAAATCCATCTTGATTCCAGTTGACGTTCTGAATTCTTTGTGGCCGTGTTCATGTGAGGCCCATCTGCATACTTGGTCCTAGTTTCGATTGGAACCTGACATATATAATATCTCTACAGTGCAACAAAGCAGATGCGATGAACTTCGCAAACGGCTTAGCGAAGCCTGCAGTTCCGTCCAAATCTCTCTTCCTCTCCCTCCTAGTTATTCCCTGCCGCCGCTTGTACGCGCAGGATGAATCGGTAACACGCGCTCGATATATCTTGATTTGAAAGTTGGATACCCCCCGCCTCTATTTCTGATGAGCCTGATAGTTTATTATTGCTGCTATGTTGATACTACTGCTTTCGTGTAGCCTTGCTAATGTATACGCTCACCTTCGAAAATTCTCAGTAAATGTCTTTTTGTTCGTAATGTGGCGTTTTAATTGCCTCACTATTCCAGTTGTGTACTCTATATTTTCGTCTACTTACTTCGTTCCGTTTTGCTCAATCTTATGGTTTTCGGCAAATTCGTGCTTCATACTTCCCGGCCCCTTGTACGTCAATATGCCCCACAGTGTGTTCAATCAGTGGAATCGCTGGCTATTGAGGTTTTTATAGTAACTTCATAGGGTAGGAGGCGCAGATCAAGAGGCCCTGATCAGATCATGGTGCAGCATCTGGGATCTTAACCTTGACGGATCTTCTATTCGGTGGTTACTAGGTTGCTTCCAGTTCAGATGTCAAAAAGAGATGTCGATGTAATGATCGTGGATGGTGTGTGGTACATCATTGTAGTACAAGTGGGACAGAAACAGTAAATTACTAGTAAAGAAAGCCCATCTCAACCCGAGTGCGGCCTTCCGTTCTTCCTCGAATGCCACTTTCCTCCGTAAACGGAACTTGGTGGATGATACGCACTCCCGCGATGCTTGTTCCGGATGTCCTGCAAGGTGCGCTCCACCTTCCACTGCATTTCCGAATGAGCCTTATCCGGCCGCGGGTATCGGGGACTGTGAGTGCGCCAGATAGGGCTGACAGGAACGCTTGGGGATCTCCAGTTGTCATCTCCCTCGACATTCTTCTTCGAAACGGCACTGTCCAGCGCAACGAGGGCTTGGCCGGTGTAGTTGAGGATAGGCGTGGACAGATTGTTCCTATGCTCCTGCCACTGCTCGAGACTGAAATCCTCATGGCCATCCACGTCTAACCAGACAAGCGCGTCAAACTTGATCATAAACTCGTCCAGAGTCCTTTCCCTTTCGGGAAGAAGCACGTTGAAGACCTCGTGCAGCCTTTCCTGGTCCTTCTGGAGAGCCGTCTCGTACCACTCGTGGGTGGGTGATGTGTCACCCAGCTTGGCAATGGAGTAGGCTTCTTGCCTTTTTTCGACCATCGCGATATCGATGCCTTGCAGGCTCCTGAACAGGGAGAGCGATAGCCTAGATCGTTCTTCGTGAATAGCGCTAGGGTCATAGGCGGCTGGTGGCATCAACCGAGCAACCGTGGTGAGATAGTGTTGAGCAATGGTCGGAAGCTGACTGAAAGCGAGTCCAGCATAAGCATAGGCATGAGGTTCGTAAATGGGTGGAGTGAATGATGGAAGCATATTGGTGTAGAGAATGTGGTTTTCTGACTGTTTACTGCTGAATACTTTGTGAGAGAGGTGAGAGGTCTGGGAGACGAAGGAAAGTGTAAGAGGAGAGGGGACGTTTTATACCCTGCGAGAGCCACTGTGGCCTCCATAGCTTTGACCAAAGCCAACGCCAAAGCTATTGTAGCGACTGGGACAATTGGCCAAAGAAATACCAGCCAAAGCGCCGCTTGGCCTGCGAGCAATGCTATTATGAGTGGTGGTCAAAGGTGAGACCCGCCACCGTGTCCGCGAAAGGCAGGTCAAGTGGATGGCTCGGCGGGACGGCTGTTCCCGAGCCGTCATGTTATCTCTGCTCATCTACGGATTTGCTCTCGGTTTGCCCTTCGTATTTCTCATACGCCGTCGTCTATCGCTCTCACCACAGAAAAAAGTGGCTAGCACAACCCCAGAAGCACCAAAAAAGGCGGGCACCATCATGCAGCCGCCCAGAACCGACCTCGATCCTCCAAAGAGTGACCCCTACACTCTCGAGCAGTTGAAGGAGTACGATGGCAGCAAACCAGATAAGCCAATATACGTCTCTATCAAAGGTATCTGTCAACTCGTCTTCCACTGGATATTAGCTCATCCATGTCTCTTGTTCTTTTCTCAAGGTGACATCTTTGATGTGACTCGCAAAGCAGACGTATACGGTCCCGGCAAGTCTTACAACCTCTTTGCCGGAAAGGACGGCTCCAAGGGACTCGGAATGTCGAGTCTCAAGCCAGAGGATGCTATACCTGATTACAGCACTCTGCAAGAGAACGACCGCAAGGTCTTGGATGACTGGCACAGTTACTTCTCGTACGTCTCCCTTGACACCGCAATGCCTGTTACACCAGCGCTAAAATAAGCCCGTCCCAACCGTAGTAAACGTTACAACGTCATCGGTCGTGTCTCAGATCTCCCGCCTGTTGTCGCGAACCTGTAAATGTCTTGAATCAAGCCGCATCTTGAATTTCATCGTGCTTTACGCTATGCTCCGCTGTGTTTATTCATCATTTTATTCGTTCAAGTTGTATCAGTGAATTCACTACTTTGACGCCCATGCGCTGGTGCCATTTTCGCACCGAATGATGTGATACACGCTATTTTTACTAGCATCACTCTTTGTTCCATACCATGTCAATATTACTCCCAATTTGAAGCCATCCCGACGTACAGACCAGTCCCCAATGGTCTAGCAGGTGTCAACCAGACACAAATAGTATGGCGGGTATCACCAAGTCTTGTCCTTTGAAACGACCATGCCGATCAGTCGTGGTATCAAGTTTCGGATCATCCCCAAGCACAGTGTTCGCAATGTAGGGTCGCACAAAACAGGTAAAAAAGGTGGCGTTTGATTGACATCTAAGCACAGCACCAACAATACCTGTGCATGCCCAACATGGTAAGAGGGATGAGTAGTAAGAGAGCGACAGATGATCAAGACATGGGCTATCCATTACATGAGAATTCGTTAAAGGCTGGGTATAGTAGGTTTCAAAACACCCATCAAAATATAAGATGAAGACAACAGATAATAAAAAGAAACTAAACCCATGTACTATGTTCAAAAGCGTGTAATGATAGACATTCGTGAATGAACTAATAAAATCATAAGAGGGTTATAATCAAGATGACGGGCGCGATAGTGTCTGTTGCAATGAAAGACTTGTGCAGTAGCTACATAAAGGGCTGCAGCAGATGATGCATATACGGGGAAGACAGTGGAAAGTCAAAGAACACATCCGAAAATCACAGCAGACCACATTCGCGTAAATGCAATTGCAGGAGAATGTCCTGGATAGCACTCAAAACGACTGAAAGAAGGCCGTGAGCAAATCTCCGAGGAAGGCGGGGAACATGGATATGGCTTACATTTGATCTGTTGCGTGTCTGTTGCACAAGTATAGTGTGCGTATATTTGCTTCGTAGCAGCGCTCTGATTTAGGGAAACAAAACGCTGAAGCAGATATTCACATGCAGCATCGTAGTTATCGCCACCGTTGTAATCTGGGAAATAGTCGCCAAGCGGAGAACGAGGTAGCTTCTCTGCAAAAAGATCAATCTTGTTCAGGAACAAGATCTATAGACATAGCTTAGCAACACAAAAGTATGGATATGAGGGATAAACCTACAATCGAAGTCTTCACGAACCATCGCGAGTTGCATATTGAATCAAAGAGCGTCAATGCTTCTTGCATCCGGTTCTATGGTAGATAAATCAATTACTCCACAGACGATGGAGAGGTCAGAGTGAAACGTACCACACTCTCGTCTTCGTACAGCATCTGATCGTACTCACTCAAACTTACCAAGAACACCAAAGCCGTCACGTTTTCGAAACAATGAATCCATTTCTTCCGCTCACTTCTCTGACCACCCACGTCGAAGAGCTTGTATGTCAGCTCTCCTACTTTGAAAGTTGTCTCCGTGATACCGGTTGTCTTGACTCTGCTTCTGAGAATATCCTGATCCGTTGGAAGGTATCCAGCTGCAGCCATGCGGTCAATAGCATTGAAGTAGTAGACAGCAGAGTCATTCAACTGGAACTCCCGTGATCGACGGACTGCCTCCTTCACACTAGAGTCACGCCAGAGACCTCGAACAGCATCAGCAACGTCCCTGGGAAGGACGTCACCCTCGAGTTGAAGAGGAAGAGCAAGGATGGCTGCACGACGAGCGTCATTTTGCGGTGACAGCGAGATGTCGAGTTGAGGCATAGCTTCAAGAATAGCACTATATCGATCATCTTAGCGATTCCATTATGACGGGATATCAAGATTGAGCGAGACATACCGCATAGACTGGATAGTATTGGAGTAGATAATCTCTTTATACGAATCTCGTTCTTGTTCGTTATAACCGCCGTGATGAATGAGTTTCATTTGTTTCAGTACCGTTGACTTTCGTAAGCCATTAAAGAGAGCACTTCTTTCCTGGAGAACTGAAGCTCACCTTCCCAGACTCTCCGGCTCCTAACAACAACATTTTTATCTCGTTCTTGGCCATCATGCGGTCACGTTTAAGCTGGTTCTCAATCTCGTCATTGCCTGCAAGAGAGGGAAAGAAGGGATGAGTACTGGTTGGTTGACGAAGAGTGAGGTGGTTGGATACGAGAGAGAGGTGTACGCACGGGCCTTTGCTTCGTCGTCGACACCGGTAGATTGGACGCAACCCATTTTTTACAAGTGTGGATGACCGTTGGAAGAAAAGAAAGGGGAAAGCAAAGGGGGATTTGTGAAAAAAAAGGGAAAGAGCGAGCAATCCAGCAATAATTAGCAGGAGGTGGGAAGTCGACAGCTGGATAGCAGCAGAAAAAGAGCCGTTCACACTCCGTTGATGCGGGAGAGAAACAAATTTCTTGCTGTTAACATTTATTTTGTTTATTTATTTTATCCCGACTTAACATGCCGTTAACGTACTTCTCATCATTCCGGCCGGCGGCCCATTATTTTACTAGTCCCATGCTCACGTGGTTTTCCATTGTAGGCCAATCAAAACGCCTTTCTTGTGCGCTCGCAGCTCTCCTTCACCGGTCTTTCATCATGGCGCTCATTTCATAAGAAGGCTCCAATGACAGTTCTGCAAATCACGTATATCACACCGCCCTATCATGCGTCAGCCTCCAGCTTTACCACATCATGCATCATCTTCTGAAACTGCCCCGCAATGTACTGCTCAGTCCTACTTTGCCATGTCAAATCATGGGGCTGTGTGCGCTCGAGAACGTGATCAGCACCACCGCGGACGAAGCGTGGGCACACGTGACTGATCGACCAAGCACGTCGATATCTCACCCCACCTCAGCACCCGACGTCGATCACCGGCAAGCTATCATCCTGGTGGCCCATCCAAATAAATCACTCATTCTATGACAGACAACATGACTCCCTGTCATATCACAATTTGGTCCGACTAATGACTGGCGATCATATCTCCTTTGCTTTATGAATCTGATAATCAAGTCTCTTGGATGGTTTTACATTGATCACATACAAGTAATTACTTTCCAAGGCCGAATGTCTCCTGCAATAAGCAGAGGCTTCTGTTGACTTGATCATTAACCTTTCTCTCGCCCCTGATGCATGCCACCACATTTTCCACAACTTCGCTAGTTATCATATCGCTATCCATCGCGCCAAGCCCTCTTATACCATCGCAAAAGCGCTTGAGAGTGCGAGCGTGCTCTACCCCAAATGATAGTCCCGGGCGATGAGAGCTATCCTCTACAAATTGAAATAACACCGTTTGCAGTGGCAGGCGGTATTTCTGGTAGTACGCTTGGCGATCAGAGTTGGTTCCATTTTTACCAATCAAGCATGCCATAGTGCATGCAATCGTAAATGATTTGATGAATAGAGTAGGACCTAGTAGGACTTTGGTGCATCGTATGTTTCGCGAATGCGATGACGTATTGGATCGCAGCAACTGTACATGTGACATTTCAGCACTCCGACACGAGAACCAGAAAAGGAAGAGACAAACGACTCGTTCCGGCTGTTAACTGTAAAGTAAAGAGGAAGTTGAGTCCCTGATTGATGCCCTCTTGACCACTGCATATCATGAAGGAGGCCCACATATTCTGGATGAGACTATGCGAAGGAGCAACCAGTCGAGGGTATAGCTGACATACCAAGTTAACAAGACATAATCGGTGCCGAAGTTGAGTATCCGAGAGGCGATGACGGAACTTTACGAGGATATCAAGAGCAATATTCAGCAACTGGTCATTTGGTTGGAACTCAGCGGGCATGCCGCTGCGGCCGCGAAGGACCTCAACCGAACATTGGGCGCAATCAGCAATAATTCTTAACAGACATTCGGCAGCGAGTTCCAGTGGCATACGATTGATGAGAGGTCGAATGACTTCTTCTAATCTGGTCTCGTCGGAAAGTATGCCATATCGAACGATCGAGTCGTGGTATAGTGCTGTAAGGTCTTGGAGGAGGCCACATTCATCAACGCAGCGACGTTCGTTTTCAAGGGCGAAGAGCAAAAGCGTAATTGCCGAGCCTTTACCCCGGAGGCGGGAAAGAGTACGGATGCATTCTGCCACAGCTGTTGGTTCCATAACCCTGAAGAAAGGGCGTGTGACAGTCTGCAGGTAGGTCTCGTCGGCTATTTTGCTCGTTTGAATCACCAACACATAAAGTCTTGACATGACATTGAGACGTGAATGATAAGGGTCCATTGCCTCCAGATGAGGCAGTCTCTGAAGAATTCCGAGGGAAATATCCAAAAGAGATTGTGCAGTACACTCAGCGCCAGAAATATCCTCGTCAACGAAATGATTTCCAGGGATTTCAGATCGGTGCTCTATGATGCTGGACAAACAAATCGCGGCTGGGATCGGATCCATATCCTCCAGTAAAGGACGAATGACGTCCTGCAGATGGCTCTCCTTGACAGATCTCCTGTGTGCCTCGGCTGATACAGATAGTTCAGATAAAATGTTGATCAGCCGGGATCGATGCGAGGCATGAGGATCATCCTCTAAGCAGATTCTATTGAATACGCCCTTAGTCATGTCCATCAGTACATCCGTGACCACGCCCGTAGGAGGAATGGCGCCACCATTTTTGATACTTTGTGGTGAGCAATGAGCGCAGTGAGCAACAATATGGTACAAACAGTCTGCAGCTGTCTTTGGTCCAAGGGTGGGCAGAAGAGGGGGAAGCACTTGTCGCAGTCGGATTTCTTTTGCAAATATACTGCTCGCATCATCCGATACGGAGAGTCCAAACAAGATGTTGATGAGACATCTCTGATGGGAAGCTTGACAATCACTATAGCTATGTATCCTGTGAAGAATATCTGCAGTAGCATCCAACAAAACATTCGTCATGTCTCCGGTTGGCGGGATGACACCACAGGCCAATATGTTCTCGCGGGAGCAGCCAGCTTGACCGGCGACAACGTGGTACAAATATGTGGCTGCAGGTTCCGAATCCATACTTTTAAGCAAAGGACAGACAACATCTTGCAGGCGCCCTTTCTTCACGGACTGACAGTGGGCATCATCTGACGCTGAAAGTTCCGCGATAATATTGATCAAACGTATGCGATGTAACGCCTCACGATCATCATCAGGCCTGATCCTTTTGAACGCATCATGGGCAACATCCATCAACGATTCGGTCATCACTCCTGTAGGTGGGATGGCGACACAGTTTTTGATGTCCTGCGACGAACAGTTCACCAGACGGGCAATGACGTTGTATAGACATTCTGCAGCCGTTTTCGCCTCCAGAGTGAACAACATAGTCTCTTTGGCTAATATGCTCCCTGCATCCTCCGATACGGAAAGCTCGGAAAGAATGTTCACCAGACGCATTTGATGTAACATTTGTCCATCACCATAGCCCTCCATCCGCCGAATAACTTGTTCGGTGATGTCCAATAGTAAATCTGTCGCATCCCCAGTACTTGGAAAAGCCTCACACGCCAGGATCGCCTCGCGGGGACAGCCAGCTTCGTGAGCAACGATATCATACAAGCAGATCGCCGCAGACTCAGGTTCCATATCTTTGATAGGAAAAATCACATCCCGCCGGCGACCCTCCTTCGTAGTTCCCTCGGTGGGGTCATCAAACCCGGAAAGCTGACATGTTATATGACCCAAGCGCAACAAGTGCCACGCGGTGGAATCATCGTCTGCGCGAGTTCTGCTCGCCACGTCCTTCGTAATATCCAACAGCACATCCGTCACCTTCCCCATAGACGGGATGGGGCAAAAGCTCTCAAAGTCTTTCCTAGGACAGCCCGCACGGTGGGCGACGATGTCATACACGCAAAGTAAAAGTACCGCCACTTCTGGTTCAAGAGTCGCAATAAGGGGGCGAACGACATCGCGCAGACGCGCGTCTTTCACAGATCTGCTGCTCGCGTCAACAGACACGGACAGTTCAGCAACGATGTTAACGAGACGAGTTTGGTGCGAGACCTGATTGTCCTCATCCGAGTGAATTCTCTTGAATATGTCCATAGCCATGCCTAGCAAAGCGTCCGTCGCATCCCCAGTGCACGGAATGATATCACAGGACATAATCGCCTCGCGGGGACAGCCGGCTTGCCGAGCGATAACCCTATAGAGACACATCGCCGCCGTACCCGGCGCATGCTCTCAAGGCAGGGACGAATCAATTCCTCCGGTACGCTCTGTATCCTCTCTGGTTCCACTAACTCAGAGAGGACGTGAGCGGCTAGGAGCGATTTGATCTTCGCCAACGCCAAACATGCGAAGAACATCGCTCGCAATGGTCAACAGCTCTTGATGTCCCTGTACATCAAAATAATCAATGACATCGCAGTCCTCGATTTCTTTCGTAGAACATCCGGAACGGAGAGAGATTAAGGTGAATAGACAGCGTGCCGCAGCTTCGGGGTGCATGAAAGTGATGAGGGGACGCGTGACGTCCTGTAGATGGGTCCCGTCTACGTCATGCCCATCGCGGGATACTAAGAGAAACAAACTCGACACGACGTTCACGAGACGCGAGCGGTGAGCAGCCGTCGACTCGTCGCCATCGGGCATTCTTCGCAAGATATCGGCAGAGATGTTGAGAATAGTCATTGTCGCGTTCTCATTCCAAGAAATTTCCTCCCATTCATGGACAGCATGCACGGGCCACCGAGTTCTGCGAGCAACGATGTGATGGAAGCACGTGGCCGCGGCGACGGGCTTCATGGCTTGCAGTATGGGGAAGATCACATCTTGCATGTGCGTATCCCTCAGGTGGTCACTACTTACTGGTCCACACACTTCAGACAATATGTAGACCAAGCGCGAACGGTGTAAAGCAACACGATCGTCTTCATCATTCAATTTCTGTAAAATACGCTTGGCAATGCCCACCAATACATCTGCCACGTCTCTAATCGGCGAAATGACACCAAAGTCTTCGACTTCGGCCAATGTGCAACCTGCCCGATCAGCCACGATACTGTAGAGACACTGCGCAGCCGCCCGCGGCTCCATCAAGTTGATCAGCGTCGGCGTATCCGTTCTCTGACCGTACTGTCCAAAATGGCGCTCTTGCGCTACCTCTTCCACTACCAAGAAATGTAGTTTAGATATGACGTTGACGAGAGCCCGACGTTGGTAGTTCAACAGGTGGCCTTCCTGTGCTCTCCATTCCTGTTCCCTCCGCAATAAGACAGCAGCCATGTTCAGCGAAGTGATCGTCATGTCCTTTGTGCAGCCAATTCGTCCGCACAAATGGATAATAATGAGAGGACACTTTGATCGGCATGAAATGATCTTGAGAAGGACTTCAGCAGCGACCTTTGGGGTCATGGCGTTGAGGGCCGGGTGGATCACCTGCTTCAAATAGTACTCCTTCCATTCCACCGGAGTGTCTGGCGACAATGAGAGGCTGGAGATAATGTTGATCAGCTCAGGGCGTTGCGGATAGATATTATCACGATCTATCTCTCCCGGAATTTGTTCCAAGAGGTGTTCAGCAATGCGAATGATCCTAGTGTTGAGCTTTCTCGCGGTGAAAATGGGCATCTGCCGTTTGATTCTTTTCATAGAGCAGTTGGTGCTGCGACAAATGACGTTGTAGAGACACTTGATTGCACTTTCTCTTTCCATGACTTCAATAAAAGGGCGAACCTTGGTATCAAAGCGGACTTCGTCCATGGGAAGATGAGGATCGGCATTGCTCACGACAGCATACAGCTCTGATATAATATGGGAAAGACGCTGATGATAGTGTTTCTTATCTGCATGAGGCTTTGTGCGAAGAGGAACAGTCTTGTATATGTCGAGCGCGAATTCCAACAGCGTGATAGTTGTGTTTTCCGTGAGTGGGATACGCTCAGCACTCTCGATCGTCTTGACCGAACAACATGCGCGGTAGGCCATGATACTGTAAAAACAACGCACGCGCAATACACGGACGGACGACATTCCCCAAAAAGTCCTCGTTCATGAAATGCTGATCGGCAATCTCGAGTATTTGCACATCAAGTTCATCCCCAAAGCGCTCTGCGATCGCTAGATCACGCTCACGCCAGTTCTTGAGGGGAGGCGAGCCGGTGGGTGGGGTACTGGTGGTTGTTTTTGGCGAGTTCTTGAAAGGCAGCCTGAGGCTCGTCGGGGAGAAAAAGATGCGCAGGGGCTTTACGATGACGAAGAATATCCAAGATTGAGGAGACTGGTATGGACAGTGAACCGAGAACGAGGGCAGGACGATTGTCAGCAAGATTAGGATCATTGACACACCCACGGCGCCAGTGACGACACCAGCGACGGCGGGGTGGAGGACAAGAGACCCACGAAGAACAGGATGAGCGATATCTGGAGGACGACTGGGAGGGCCGCGATGATGACAAACCAACGCATCATGTTGTCGTGGCGGAACTAAGCATGACTTTGTGGGCGTTGAGTGCCCGTGTTGTGCTCTATTTGTCCTGACCTTCCCGATTGAGCCTTCCCCTTTAGCTCAGCGCACTACGCATTGGAGACGTTGTCTTATCAGCATGACCATTGCGCCAGACAGTCCTGCCAGCGTCATTCTCGTCGACCCGCCTCCATCCGACGACCCGCCACCGCCCTATCCCTCCCGCGAACGTCGAGCTCGCTCCTCCCGCCGTCTCTCCCGCCGTCTCCAGTCCACCCAGCTCTCCTCCCCAGAGCCCATCCCTGACAGCGAGCACGACCATCCTCCCGCCCACTCCCCGCCCTCCCGCGTGCTCCTTCGCCCCTTCCCACCCTCTGACGATGCGTCAGAGACAACACCGCTCCTCGCACCCTCCAACGCCTCTCTCATCAGCTCCACACGGCGCTTAACCCGTCCCCGTTCTGCGTCGCACACAAGCACAGTCTTATCCTCAAGCTCTGCCGCTCCTTCTCTCGCCCAGACTGTACTCTCACTCTTTCGAGCTGACGTTGACGACTCGAGCGACGTGGATGACTATGATCTCCTCGCGGGCGAACAGCGTGATGACGCTCGTGCTCCCACCCACGGTTCTCATGTGCATACCGGCAGGGATTATGTGCTGCCAGAGTATCAGCACAGAGAGAGCGGGAGACACCCATTGCTGTTTTCGAGGCGCGCATGGGCGAGGTATTTTCGGCCGGTGTTCAAGAGAGCGTACTACGCCGCCGTATTCCACCTCATGGTGCTCAACTTTCCTTATGCGCTCGCAGCGTGGATATACCTCTTTATCTTTACTTTGGTGAGTTTCTCTCGAAATCTAATCCCTTGCCGCGGGCTATGCGACTCCAAGGAGTACCTTTCCCTACGTTCTTATCTTGGTATAGCTCTAACCAGAGTATCCTTATGCTCAACCCATCCGGTGTACTAGTACCCCACATCGGCAAGGTTTGATTGCGCTCGCGACATCGGACCTTGGGGGTTGTAAGAATAGCTATCACCGGGCGTCTTGTCTCGATTCTTTCTCGTTCTAGACTACCGTTCCATTCACCATGCTCTCCAAGTCTATTTGAATTATCAAGCTGATGGAACAACGGTCTTTGTAGACTGGAACCACACTGCTGATGGCACTTCCATTAGGCGCTGTCCTGTGTTTCTTCGATCTAATAGGAGCCAGGGCGTTTGCCAGGGGAGAGGTGAGTGCACATTGTATATTCAAGGTTTATTCGGCGTCGTTAACTTTGTGCAGCTTGCTCTTCAGTCTACATTCCACGGACCTCTTGCCTATCCGCTGCCGTATCCTGCACGGCCCATCTTCACTCGCCAGCGCCCAGCGACACCTGCAGAGGTGGAATCGGGCGCAGCAACCGGTACGAAGTACGAAACGTCATTCTACAAAAATGCATATGCGATGGTAGGCATCTGCCTTTTATTCACTTGTTGGTTCATGACCAAGCCCCTTTCTCAGTTCACAGACCCGACTTCATACCAGGCGCTCTTCTATTTTCTCGTGATCAAACCAGGGATCACGCTATTGGTCTCTCTTATTCTTGTTGTTTTCGTCCCAGTTGCTTTCGTGCTCGTGCTTCCCGCGCCATTGGTGCTGCGGGCAGTGAGGAGGCTGGGAGTGTGGCAGGCCAATGTGGCAGTAGAGGGGCTGTTCCTGGCCATGTCTTAGAGTCTAGCGCTGTCTACAAGTTGTCCTTGCTTGCTATCAGTAATATAATGTACACATACTGTATCGATAGCCCTTGTCTCCGCATTTGTCGATGGAGTGCTTTATGGACATGCAAGCGAACAAGAAAGTGAGAGAAGTTAGCCGGTGGCGTGAGCTGATATAAATGGGCGCCAAAAGTCGGGAATATAGGACCACGTTCCGCTGACGCGTCCTGACTTGACTCTCTCGTCTTGACAAGTCAGTCTGCGGTTGCGACAGTCAGTGCTAGTCATACCATAGTCTATAACACTCAATCACAGTAGCGCCCTAGAGTACCCGCACAGACCTGCCCTACATCCGCTGTATTCACCCTAGATAGCCCTGACCTCCTTTTGCTTCCAACCACCACACCCACACCCGCTGACCCCCACCCGTCTTCACTGTGTTCGCAGCATTGGCTTGTAAACTGATTCCTTCCTTACATCCACATTGGCATGGACGCTCTCAAATCGCTCGTTCAACCCCTCGTAGGCGGCGCAGGAGGCTCGTCCGTCATTGACGGCATGAAGCTTGTCGTCCTGGGGGGAACCGTAGAGACAGCAAGGAGAGTCTCTAGCTCTGCTTGGTGCGTCTCTTCTCTTCTCAGAACCACACCTACTCACCCACCCGTTCTCACCCGTATTTCACCCGCAGGTCCCATTTTGTGAACTGTAAGTCTCCTCGTCCATTCTGCCACCCCAAGTGTCCCATGCTGAGCTCAGAGTTTCCCCCTGCACAGCTTTCTTCCTCACCGCCCACTTCTCAGAGGAAGACTATCCCTATGACTGGCTCATGCTCTGGCTCTCTCGCCGTCCCGAGTGGCAGCGTTCCAGAGAGTTCGAGACGACCACTCGCACCACCACCCCCGGCTTCTCCGGCTCGCGCACCGCTGACAACTCCTTCTGCGACGAAGAAGAAGAAGACGATGGGGACGACACAGCCCCAGGCAAAGTCAAGACCCGCGTCGTCTTCCAACCCACCTTCGACACCACCCACACTATCTACTACAAGGGCCACTGGCTCAGAGTCAGGCGTGGGAGAAAGAGCGACGGGAGTGGATGTGAGGTGTTGTCGATAAGGTAGGCGCCCGTCTGTTATATGTCGCTTTGACGAACGGATGGCTAATGCGTTGTGTGACAGTGTTGTGGCAAGGAATAACTCGATCTTGAAGCAGCTTGTGCTGCAGGCCAAGAAAGAGTACGAGGCCGAGGCGATACACCGCATCCAGATCTATTTCGCAGACTCTCATGGTAGCTGGCGCTGGACAGACTCGCGCCACAAGCGTCCCATGTCGTCTATCGTCCTCAACCCAGGTGTAAAGGAGATGCTTCTCAACGACACGCGTGATTTCTTGAAATCCGAAAAGGTAAATATGTCGCTCATCTTGGTAATAACACACTCATCAATCACAACCATGATAGTGGTATGCTGACCGTGGTATCCCTTTCCGTCGTGGTTATCTCTTGCATGGTGTCCCAGGCTCAGGAAAGAGCTCTCTTATCCACGCCATTGCTGGCGAGCTCATGCTCGACATCTACGTTGTCTCGCTGTCTTCGTCCTGGATCAGTGACAGTACGCTCCAGACCCTCATGGGTCGCGTTCCCGCACGATGCATCGTTCTCTTGGAGGACCTCGATGCAGCGTTCACGCGGAGCGTCACCCGTGACAAGAACTCGACGGGCACGCCCGATTCATCGAGCGCTACAAGCGAGGAGGGCAACTCGTCTCCCGAGCCTACGTCGAGTGCAAACAGCAGGCATAAGAGGCACAATAAGGACCATATTTCGGACGTGAACACGCTGAGTCTGAGTGGTTTGTTGAATGCACTGGATGGTGTGGCCGCGGCCGAGGGCCGTATTTTGTTTGCGTAAGTGTCGAGTTGTTCAAGTGCTTTCGTCGCTGGCATGGTGCTGATATTGTAACAATAGCACGACGAATCATCTTGAGCGCTTGGACCCTGCTCTTTCTCGTCCTGGTCGTATGGACGTATGGATAGAGTTCAAGAATGCATCCAAGTGGCAAGCAGAGGCACTTTTCCGCAATTTCTTCCCTTCTACCGAAGACGATGCCGAAGTATTGGAAGGTGACCTTGAGGGCATTGATTTACCCGGTCCTCAATCGCCCACTACGAGCTCCAACGACTCCTCCCTATGGTCCATGTCACCCTCGTTCTCCTCGTCTACTTCCTCGCTGGTGTCGAGGTCGACTAAGAACACGACCCCCGGTTCAGGTGCCGAGGAGTTTGGCGCGAAGAACCAGGCGTATTTGCCTCCCCCTGTGGAGGAGCACATCGCTGCATGCCAACACTCTGCGAAGCCACTCGATGCTGCGAAGTTGGCACAACTTGCAAAGAAGTTTGCGGACTCGATTCCCGAGGAGGAGTTTAGCGTTGCCGCCCTGCAAGGATGTGAGTTTATCTTTTTGTTGGTGCTATGATGGTTCGTGGTTGCGCTTGATTTTTTTTTTTTTTTTCTGGATGGGATTTGGTGCGTTTGTCTACTCTCATGATTATGTTACTGATATCTTTGTGCTCCCTTTTTTCATTGTTGTGGTTGTTGATACTAGATCTCCTGAAGAACAAGTCACAGCCTGAGACGGCCGCGGAAGAAGCCGCCCCATGGGTCATCAGCGAGCGAGAGCTCAAGGAAAGGCTAAAGAAAGAGAAGGAACAACGCGAGATCAAGGAAAAGTTGGAAGTAAGTCGTCGGAGCGTACATTCATACTAATATCACCTTTCTCGTCGAATAAAGTGTTGAACTGATCCTATCGAAATGTAGCGCGAGAAACGGCGCAAGGAACTCCTAGAAAAGGAGAAGGAAAAGGCCGACCTCGAGAAGAAAGAGCTTGAGCTCGCGAAGCTTAAGCTGCAGCTCCAGGAACAGGGGACCAAAGACAAAGCCTTGGCTGAGAAGAAGGAAGCGGATAAGGCTGCGACTTCTGTGGAGGCAACTGTTATTGCAGACGCGAACGCGAATGCCAAGGGTGAAGATACCGGTGTCAATGAAACCAAGGAAGAGCTGGCTGCTGACGCGGATAGCGACGAAGAGAACGTGCCTCCTTCGTCGTCGACTCCTTCTGAAGTGACGTGGGTCCGGGTCGTGGAAACCTCAAGCTGACTAGATACACCTGAAGTTCATGTCGAGGACGCCAGAGACGAAGTCGTCCCTAGTGTAGCCGCACTTGCAGCTATGGACAATGGCGACGCATCTATGACGGATAGAAGACCCTCGGTACAAATTCTGAAACGGCAAACTTCGGACACTCTGATGACAAGGCATGCAGGCGGGTTTGCGCTTGTGTATGCTATGCTCGATCTCTATTTGTTTCACCTGTACGCTTTTTTCCTGCAACTCAATTTCTTGGGGGGTAGGAGGCAAGTTTGAGCTTTGACTTAGATCTGATCTTACGATTGGAGAAGGTGTTGGGCCCGACTATGTGATCCCCTTCTTTCCCCTATTCTTTTTGTTTCGTTTTATTGTGCTATATACACCAGAAATACTTATATATCTCACTCCCCACGTTATCATCCCTCCCCCATTCCCATCGGTCCTCATTCCCGCATTATTCAAAGCTTGTTATATATCCATCTGTCGCTGCCGGTGTTTCCGTTTTCTTTCTCTTTTTTCTTTTTTTGCTCATCTGTATATTTTCTCCCCAAGTCTCTTCCCACTCCCGTCTCTCGCGCGCGATCTCTCTAGTTGCTTGCCCGGCACCCGTTCCCTCTCTCTCTCATCATCTCGCATCTAGTTTTTGCTACAGGGTCATAGTACCTTTTTGTCTGGTAGTTTTGGTCAAAATGTATAGTTTTTTTGATGGCCTGCGTTGTGTGATTTTGTCGAGTTTTTTTTGAGAGTAAGTCAGAGTTTCAGGTGTGACACTCGGTAATAAAATAAAGTCTAGTCTGGATGGTGAAAAAGTTGGGTTTTCTTGGGATTGTCAAAATACCTTTGTTCAAACCTACGATTGCCAAGTCACCTATATAGTCGAGCTCATACAGCCTCAAACGAAAAAGCTTCTCAAACGTGCATTAGGCATTGACAGTCATACGCGACAACACCGAGCCAAGAAAACATGCACTGCTCCCATCTTCTGCCATGACCACCGTGTCCCTCTCGATCCCAAAGTAGTGGGGTCAATTTGCTCGGCGGCTGCGGACAAGTGCGCAACGCGAGCACAGGCCGCACGAATGGGATTCATCGACAGGATTCGGTCCGGCAGTCCAGGGGAGGGGGGGCCATCCTCGCCCTTCTGAAATCCGCCACCATGTCCGGATCTCGACACGAGGAGGAGGCCGCTTCGAGAGGGAGAAACGCACGTCGTCGGAAGCTCGAACGTTGTCAGTGTTGGGCTATGCTGCCGCTGTAGAGGAGCGAGACTGGGGTCAAGCAAATGGAAACGGAAGAAAGAACTGGCTTGCTTGGGAGCCTCCTCCAACGAGATGTGAAAGTGATCAAAGCATCGCGCGGAGATGAGGCCATAAAGAGCACGTTGGCACAGATTGTTTACTTGACCGCCAAGGATTTTTTCTTCGAACTGTACCCTCCAGACCAAACATCTTTAAAATTGTGAAAGCGGTAGCTGAGGATTCCTGCATAGGACTGATATAGGCCGAAATCAACATCAAAACCACCGAGCTGGTTAGCGTCTTGGGCTGATTCCGAGAACAGATGGGCACATTGAGTGTTCGTGACTGGGCGGCTGTTGGTCGCAAGCCCTTTATTCTCGGGATATTTCAAGCAGGAGTTAACGTCGTATGCGCCAGTGATCATGCACTTGCAACCATCACGCAAAAGGGCCTAATGTACGGGCCAGAGTTTCGCAGGAAGACACAGGGTGAGGTATGGAAAACTGATGCATTTTTTGGCATTTCCCTTGGTTTTGGGGGCATCAGCCATCGCGGAGAGAATCGCTTCCTTATGTTCCTCGAAGGAAGGGCGCGATACGTGGGCATTTGATGCAGGCGTAGGTCCCGTGTTAGAGCGAACTGGGTTCCTTTCAGTAGTACTAGTATTCGATGTAAATGGACTCTATCCTTACAAACGCACATGAGGTTATTTCTATAAAGTAGACCCAATTGGTGGACCTTGGCGTGTTGAGCTTGTTCTTCTTTGCTCCCTACGGCGACACCACCAGCAGAAAAGCCAGACCTTATCTCCAGCAGTAGACGCTCGTATGCAATAGGGTGTACAAGCAAATGTTGCCTTCCATGGTCCGAAAAGTCTTTCAAAGAAAAAAACCAAGAGTCGGACTCCAACAAGCTTATCATTGTACTGCGGAGATGCGGAGGAGGCATGATCCTTGAGAGCTTCTGGTAGAAGTAGTTGCCATGCGCTGATACCTTGGGCGTCAAACTGGACAATATTTAGGGTGGCAGCGTCACATTTGTGACATCCTCACTCGCACGACTGCACTGCTCCCACTCCAATGCTGTATACACCGCACGCCACAGTCTTTCCGCAGGCCTGGCACGAACACTCAAGTGCTCAAGTATCCAAACACCATAACCATCGACATTCCCTTCAGCAACCATGAAACCAAGAGAATATTGCTGCTGTGCCATTCCCCTCGTCAACCCAGGCATCTATGCCACTTTAACTGAACAATTCGTGCTTGGAGTTGTCGTAGCTACGCTCTCTGTCGCAACGCCTGAAAGTGCGATTTCCCCACACTTCGTACCGTCAGTAGTACATTGATACTGACTTTTGCATCTGGCTTTTGTTCTTTGTAGTTGTCGGTGCTGCAACACCGTCTTTTGCACCCTGGCTTTTCGCCATTGTTTGCTACATAGCAGCTGCCATCCAGCTGCTAGGTTTTATGGGTGTAGCTCAGGTATGGATTGTTCCACCCTATATACACTCACCCATTCCATTCATTTTGACAATTCGCAAACCCACGCAGGAGAAACCAATTTTATACCGTCGATATGTCACTCTACACCTCATAGTCTCTGTCGCCGCGTTCGCCATCGCCATCGCATGGGTCATCATCTCTGCCACTCGCCATTCCACGGCTCAGTCTAATTGCGAAAAGAAGTTCTTTCCTGTGTCCGGCTCATCATCAACGTCATCTGAAGGGCAGACACTCTGCAATATCTTCTCGTGGGTCGATGTCGGCTTGATGGGAGGGGCATGGGTATTTTTCGCTATCACACAGGTACGTTTGACCTGGGCTACTGAAGATTAAAAGCAGTAGCCTCATTCCTTTATACCCTGCCTAATGTCACCAATTCAGAGCTACTTCTCAATCGTTGTGTCCTCGTACGGGTCTTCTCAGAGGCACGACCATGCCATGTACGATTCTCTCGATGACTCCACTAAACCCTTTACCAATGATATCGCTATGGGCGACCGCGGTGATCCTTGGGATTCTAGGCCCTCTACAGATCACCTCGGCGGCGGTAGAGATGCTCGCGGGTTTGGGCACCACAGGAATGAAAGCGGCGCATCGACGGTTATGAATGCGCCCATGCAGAAGGAGAGCTCGGAGTACATGGATGGCGGTTATGCGCCCACAACGTACCCCTTGTCCGACCCGAAGGGTGTATATACACAGGATCCCCAGCCGACGCCGTACGGGCAAAGTTATTACACTGGTGTAGGGGCAGGGGGCGCCGGGGGATATGGAGGCGTGCAGGAGCCAGCTGCGATCCAGGGTCATCCCGGTGAGTTGTGAAGCTGCAGTGCTCCTTCTTACAGCCCAAATTGTCAGGTGACTCACCTGACGGTGCGTGTGATGAAGCAATTTGTCATTTGAGGATGGCGATTTACGCTGACTGCTTTTTTGTGCTTTAGCGGAAGGCTCTTTTCGCAGGAAGACACCGAGGTACTGATTAATGGTTGAGTGACGAGTACATCATTTGTGGATATGGACTTTTCTGCTTTATGCGTGGACAGACATTGTTTAGATCACTATTCCCCTTGTAATTCTCTTGTTACGTGGTACCTAGTTCAATAACCTCTAACCAACTACAAATGGAATTTGAGTGAGGCATGCATTGGTGACATGATGACTATTAGAAACTACAATTTCTATATAAACCTCAAATGTGACCCCTTGCTTATACGAAGTAAAGGTATAGTATTTAACAAGATGAGCTTAGTTCTGTCGAATAGGGCTGTTAATGTGATACACCCCAGCTTAGGCTGTGAGGTGATCGTAGTGACATAGTTTGTGATGGAATCAATCCTTCTTGTAGATGGCGGAATAGAAATACATATGCGTCGACAAGAGGGGGGGAAGGAGCAGAGGATCGATAATAGGGAGTTTTCAGACTAATCGCCGTGGACTGTACGTGAACTCGACGACCTGTGTGCCTATTAGTTTCGGATAAAACTCGAGGCTTGAGCCGCTTCGACACACCCGGAACCCTATGTCATCAAAGAAATATTGTTATGCTGGAAAATAGTGAAATGATCACCAGCGCGATTTGTACGCTCCAAGCGCTCGCGAGGACCGGGGAGCACCCGGCTGTCGCACCAATATACTGTTCCCCCAGGTTATCTATCCTCCCATTTCCGTCCATAAGCGCGTCATCCTAAACACAGGCAAGTTTATGAATATATAACGCTTGTTTCGAGATCATCACGCACGCCAGTGCAAAACGGTCAAGAGGAGAGACGCTTACTTGATTCACGCCCTGCAGGTTCTTCATCGCGCCGAACCATGCGTACCGCTCGACGAACTCGGATGCGTCCATGAACCCCTGCGTCGCGTTCATGAACGCCACGATGTCCTCGTACGAACACTGCGCGTTCACGTCGTTGAAGTTCTGGCATGCCCATTCCGTTACCCAGATCGGGAGCTGAAAGGTATCGTGGAAGTCGGAAAGGTAGGCTTCGAAAGTAGTCGCATTCACGTCGTACCAATCTGCTCGCCCCTTTCTGTTTGAGTGGTTTCTTTTTCGGGAGGGATAGAAAAAAGGGGGGAATATTGGATACGCACGGAGAGCGATGAAGTCTAGGGTACACCCGCCCTCGCAAGCGGTAAGGAAGTCTTGTATCCACGTTTTTCCAGAGGGTGCGCTGGACGGTGCTGGGCTCCCGAGGCGAACGCCCTGTGCACGCAGTGGCTCCAGGTATGATTTCCACATCTGAGCACCTTCGGCAGGAGTGATGTTCGACTGAGCGGACTGTTCAGGCCTTTTAGAAGAGGATATCGTCAATTGGTTGTATTAAGGGATCAAGAAGGGAACGTGTACCGTACTCGTTCATTCCGAGGATGGCAGTAACGTGCTGGTTTTGTATAGTCTCGTTGATGGATGAAGCAAACTGGCTGGCTTGGTTTTGGCCCCAGAGCATGGGGACGAATTCGATATATGTGTTGACCGGTTGAGGAGACCATGTGTAGTACCTGCGTTCACAGTTTAAGTTGGAAGTCGAATGATCGTGATGCTTGATTGGGAGGGATCAGAAAGAGAAGATCTACGCACCAGGAGACCTTTCCTGTGGAGAGGAACTGTCTTATATTGACATAATCTCCGTTAGCCCAAGCCAGCCCCGCTTTTGAAGTGTTTGTAACGGTTCGAGGGCTGATACCAATATTGCTGCTGCTCGCGGACGGAGCACGTGCGCGGCTCAAGGAGAGCCACAACACTTGCCAGATCAACAACGTTGAGATAACCATGGATGTTGCCTGTAGACAAGGTAGGAGGGGGTGGGCCGCGAAATGTCACTGAAATGTTATGAAGTCTGGGGTGAACTTGAAAGGTAAGAAGGGCCTGAGTGGTGCCGTACCTTGGGGCCACGATGGAGCTGGCTGGTGTCAGTGAGCGTGCCATTTCCAGGTGGCAGTTTGTCGAATACATGCTTGATTAGCAGTGCAAAGGCTTGCCGACTGTTACAGATAGTAGATAGTAAAAATGAAAGAAATGTGCATGGAGGTGCTAGTGTAAATATGCTGAAATGATACAATTCACACGCAAGCGCTTATCACTACCAACTGCATGTTGCGTGTAGCACAAGCATATCAAACATGAAATCAACACTCTTGCGTACAGAAGAATTATCGCAAGTCTTATTCCCTTCCAGGTGGGTGGACTTGTCGTTTTGCACTCTGACCTGGGACTGTAATCCCAGTCATATATGACATTGAACAATTCTGCACTGACAACGCTTCCAATTGTGCTTTCGTTCTCCCTGGCCACATCGGAACTGCAAAAATGGCACTCACCAAATACTATGAAATCATAAATCAAACATCGGATGGCCTCTTGAAAAATGCGTTGCATCACTGAGAACCTGTGTCGGTGTCGTCGATCTGAAATAAGATGGATGGGCCATATCACTGAAATAAGCTCACCTTTAGAACTGTGGATGGGCGATGGATTGCACGAGAACCTCGCTGGCTGCATAAACGGCGAAGACACCGCGCTAGGGGAGCTTCAGATATCACGACCACCAAAGTATACATACCCCGTTGCACAGTCGTAAAATACCGTCTCGGAACAGTCTGAGGAGTCAACTCACCTTCATCCAGATCATAGCGGATGTCATCTACACATGTCTCGGCAAAGATAATGAGTGAAATTGTGTTTGCCTATAATCATGAGCCCGGAATCTACGTTATCACCTTTTGGTGTGATGGTCAGACGGACGGCAGTTCGGACTCTCTTCTACGTTGAAAATAACATTCACTATGACGAACGACGATAAAATGAAAGCAGAAACATTGAAAGCGACGTAAAAGATTAGGCGCCCAACAATGTTCTTATTTACTCACGTTCAGCTGTATCCTGTCTACATTTTGGTCCAACTAGGGGAGAACACGAAATTTCTGACCAAAGGCAACCCCGTTCACTTGGTTCATGGCATCGATATCTAAACCATCGTGCAGACTCTAGCTCCTTTCCACAGAACACAAATTACAAAAGATCTGATAGTTTGTAGCATTTCCGTCGTGTTGCAAGCATATACGACATGTCTACCTTTGAGCAATTATTCAACAACTGTGTCCTTCAAGTTACCATCCCAAACACCTCGGTCTCGTTTCCTGAGCCAGGACCAGCAGACGACTGGTTGAATGGGCTGGGTGCACAACACATTGAGAGAAGGCAGGCTTTCTTTGGTGGGTCCCATCGCTGTTTGCCTGGAGTTCAAGCTAATATCCCATCAGACGAGCAGTTGTACGTCTACCTCACAGTAAAGGTAGATCATCCTCCCTCCGATCCCCCACCTGAACCTTCGCGCGTGCCCAAGCTTTTGCTCGACTTCTTTGCCCACATTCAAGTGTCCCTCGAGGCAACATATATATCTCCAAGTTCCGCATCACACACCGATTCACTCAGCCCTGCTCGCCTCTCAGCACCTCCGCGGTCCACATCCATACAGTCCAAAGCCCGCCTTACCGTACCCCACCCATCTATATTCCCTCCCAGCACCCCCAACCCCATCCCTTCCACGGCAGAGAACGACAGGAAGTATGTGCAAGCGGAAGGGACTCTTCTCATCGCCAAGATATGGGGCCAAGATGCGTCGAACGATTCTCACGAGAAATTTACCATAGTCTTCTCTGAAGCGGATGGTGCATGGGTGGCTGTATACAGGCTTTCGCTTGTCGTCTGTACGTGTCATGCTCTTGTCTTGAGCCTTGTACATACTGATTTCTCTTTTGAAGCATTTTTGCGTCTTAATATACTAGATCCTCTACTTTGCCTAACAATATCAGCAACACTCCGCGAGAAAGCCCTTTCGATGACTCAATCAAAGCACCCATTCGTCGCGTTCTTGACCAGTATGGAATCCAAATCGTCTACAGATGATCTTCTGCCTTCTCTTCCTGGTAGAATAAACGATGCTACGGCCGACGGAGAGCATGACCTTGAAGGCTTAGAAGAAGTAAATCTATTAGAGGGGCTTTCTAATGGTATGTGTCCTCGCAATTGTCCTTCATCCCGAAACCAACCATAAATATCCCAGCACCCAGCTTCTCTTCTACGACAAATCCAGTTTATCTTCCATCCTCGCGTATAGGAAATTACACCCGCCGCCAAATATTTTCCCTCCCCCCCGTTGTCTCCTCATCGCCCCAAACGTCCTCGCCAACAAAGGCCCAGACCTCAACCCACCCCACCCTTCGCAAATCATTTCGCAAGACCATGCACACCGTCTCGGGCTTTCGCGTGCGCATGCGCACCGTGTTCGTGCCGTACGTACTCCTCCCTGAGACTCGCAACCACGATCTCGACTCCTCCACCTCCACCTCCGATGACAGCGATAGCAGTGACAGTGGTAGTGTAGATGATAGGGAGGACGAGCGCGATCAAAGGGAGGCGGGGAACGACGAGCATACCGTCGTGCTCTGTGTCGAGATCGAGAACTCGGGCGACGCAGGGCCAGAGGTGGGGTTTTCTGTCGAGAGCATTGATGTCAATATCGGCGGCGAGGGTGCTACTGCTACGCTGATAGGCTGGGGCGAAGGTGTCTTTGGGAAGGAGGCAGAAAAGCACGTGTTCCCGCTCCCCATTGGCTCGATGGAACAATATAACTTACTCTATGCCGTTTCGTTCCTGCACCCCCCCGGTGACATGGATACGTTCTCGTTACCCGGACATGGGAAAGACGCGCGTTCAGGAACTAAGTGGAGCACAGAGCTGCAGCGCGCGGTGACGATCAACATTAACGGCAAGCCCTTCGCGAAAGGCGAGGCTTTGTCTGAGGAAGATGACGGGACTGCTACCGTATCATATCCCACTCGAACGTTTTCCTCGCGATGGAACTGTGTATTAGACTTATCCACCCGACCACGCGAAGAAGCATCTGATTCGTGGTACGGGAATCACAACGCCCTGCCCGAACCTCCCTCTCCGTTCCCTACGCACCCCATCGTCACACCAGCTCAATTCCCACCACACACCGCCCGTGACACCCATCACCCCCAAGACCTCGTCGCTGGCAGCAAACGCCACACCCTCCCGGGGAGCATCACCGCCCTACGAGCGATCAACCCACCACTGAGTAGCGCATCGACCAGCCTTCGCTCGTCCACGTTGCTGAACCCCTCCATCCGCGAGCAGTCCGTCTCGCCGCACCCAGGTAGAGGGTCATTCACGCCGCCTTCGGTGGCGGTGAAGGCATACGCACGGTCACCAACGTCATACGGCGCGCTACCGTCCATTGGCTCGGTCGGCAGTTTGGCGGGCAGCGCAGTCGATCCCAATGGGGCTGGCGCCGTCGAGCAATTTGCGGCCCCGCCGCCCACACCGGCGTACCCTGCATATCCTGCCACCGCCGCTGTGCCCCCTACTCCTTACTCCCAAGCGTCGATGTCGAACCAACAGGGTGCACTAGGTCCGAGCGTCGAGATACGCCGAGAGCGTGGGACGGGGATGGGCGTTTCTTCTCCGCACACCCCTGGACCGACGGTTATCGGGGCGTCGTTTGCAGACCGGCTTCAGGAAGTAAACGCCAACGTGCCTGCGGAAGTTTCCAGCCAGCCTATCATCGTCTCCGTCGGGCTGCTCCCACGAGAGTCAACACGAAGGAGCAAGACACCTCAGAACTCGGATCGAATATACCCATACGAAGAATTCACGCTTGATATTTTCGTGTTCAACAGGAGTTCGTGGACGAGGCGGTTTGAAGTGAGCTATCCCGACGCTGCGTTGCGCAGGAGGAGGAAGACAGAGCGGAAGGGAGAAGGAGGCGCTGCATCGTTAGAGGAGTTGAAGAATGCAACGTCTCCCCCTGGGATACTGCCTCTTCAGAACAGGGTGCGGATTGGGTATGTGGCAGTCCATTGTTTTTGGCCCCGAGTTTTCTAGATAGATGCTGACTGCTTCATCGCCTTCTTCCAGCCCGCTAAGACCATCAACGTGTCAGTCTGTCCGAATGGATTTTATGGCGATGAAGCCCGGTGTACATTCAGTCGAGGTTCTTACGCTGACGGATATAGAGTCTGGGTTTGCTATGAATTTGAGGTCAGTAACAGCAATCTTATGGCTCTGTAGCAGAGTAGATGACTGAATGGTTATGAACAGATCTGTCATGGATATTGTCGTTCATGAACCACACGTCTCAGTGTCATAGTGTAGGGCTCAGTCAGCATTAATGGACTTGATTTTCTGGCGGGTGCTCGTAGTGCCAGAACCCCTTACGTTGGACTAAGGATAAAATCAATGGGCCTTGAGCAATTGCACTTACCATCGGGCGGAATGTTGTATCTGCAGTTTTAACAGGGTTGATGCATGGTAGCGTATACCTAGATAGCACATCCAGTCTGATCGTGAAAGAGACCTCTATAGCTGTTAAGGATAATCTTAGGTCTTGAAGAAGCTAGAAGGGTCATACGAGATCACATCACACCGTGGTGCAAAATAGAAAAGTGGAATCAGACGACACAATCAGAAATGTAGGCATAAAGCGCGAATATAAAATATACAAGAATAGGGAAGGGCGGGCATAATGACTAAAACGGGGCCACGCGAAAACAGAAATCCAACAAGTTTGCTAAGGCATCAAAAGGGGCGTAAAGAGATCTAATTCGTTATTTAGATCCACTGAGACTTATCCCAAGCCGGATCTTGCAAAAACGCGCACAAAACTTTACTGCCCGTCTAGTGAAAGGTGGATTTAGTAAAAAAGAGATAAGGATCTAGGTCAACCACACAACTTCACCTGCAGAAGAGGATGACCAGCGACGATGCTCAAGAAGCGCTCCAAGCCCTCCCTTCTGCTCTCGATGACCTCGTCAGAGAATCTGTTGGTGAATACCTTTCCGGGGAGGGGAGGGATGTTGACGCGGGTGGATTCGCGCTCGAGGACGTCGCGGAAGGCTTCAAAATCGGAATAACGTCTTCTGACCAAGGAATGACGTAGCTTGAACGCAGGAATATTGGTCTATCCAAAAATGCATCAATGGCCATGCGAGAACCTCATTCAGTATACATTCAAACGACCACAGACCTTGCAAACGATTTCGTAGTCGGTATACATCTTACGGCCATAGCCTAAACAAGAGAAGACGTAAGCTCTTATTATGTAGCCAGCATTGTAAATTTTTTCCTTACCGTGAGTCTGGGGATTGCGAACCTCAATCTCCAAAAAGCTCTCTGGTACACTGTACATTTCCTCGATCTGAAATTCGCTTGCCAGTGTTTATGCAGGAAGAACCTGGGAGAAGTGCATCCTTGGACTTACGGTCTGCTCACGCCCAGTGATCCTAGGCTCATCGAACGCAGAGCTGCGAGCAAAAGGCGACACGGTGGTCATGGTGGTGAGTTGACGCCAACTTTGGGTGGTATCGCAGCGAAACCAGCGACAGGCACAGCGGTTCGGGTGGCAATGCACCACAGCCTCCCAATCACGTGGCCACAGTCAGCATCCCTTTCGCGTAAGCATAGCATAGGCACAAGCAAGTGCAAGAGTAAGTGTTCTATAAGCCTGGGTAGTTATCAGCTAACTTCTCGCATTCTATTTCTAAAACACTTGTACATGTAGCGATCGTAACATGTACATTCCCATTCAATATTTAAATCCAATACACTTCTAGCAAGGCCCCATTTGTCACCATTTCAATTTTGATACCCAGGCTATTTTTCACCATCGCGTTTGCAATTTTCTATCGTTTGCCTTGAGAAATAATGCCTCGGCCAGATGGACATATAACTCACTTTGTTATACAATCCTTTCGTTTGACTCAATTTACCCAAGCTCGTGCACTTTGGAACAGTTTAAACCAAGGCCCTGTACCTCCCCATGTCTTCTTAAACGAGGGTGGATACCAACTATTGCTCTCCAGAGTGACCACCCGTTCAGGATGCGGCATGAGTGCCAGGATACGCCCGTCTGGGGTCTGCACTCCCGTGATCCCTCCGGGACTGCCATTCGGATTCAAAGGATACATTTCTGTTGGCACTCCTTGGGAATCGACGTAGCGCATGGCAACTAGCCCCGCAGATTCGAGCGATTTTTGGCGGGCTTCATCGTTGAATGCCGCCCGACCTTCACCATGAGCTACAGCAACAGGGAATTTCGAGCCGACCATATCACGCAGGAATACCGACGAGCGAGTCACATCACCGGGAACAATCTCCACCATCGACACTCGGCCCTCAAACCGTTCACTTGCATTTGGTTTAAAGTCGGGCCAGTCCTGTGCTCCAGGGATTATCTCTCTGAGATGGCTGAGGAACTGGCAGCCATTGCATACAGCGAGGGTGAATGTCTCCTGGTTCTGGAAGAACTGGGCGAATTCCTTTCGCGCTTTCTCATTCAGCAACACTGAATGCGCCCAGCCTTTCCCAGCGCCAAGGACATCCCCATACGAAAATCCACCACAAGCTGCGAGCCCACGGAACCCGGTCAGGCTAACCTCACCACTGATGATATCGGACATATGGACATCAACTGCATCAAATCCAGCAGCAGTGAAAGCCCAGGCCATTTCGACCTGCCCGTTGACACCTTGCTCGCGAAGAATGGCAACTTTGGGCCGAGAAGGTAAGAGAGGCATCGGCGTGTACGAAAAGGTGAGGTCATAGGATAGCCCTGTATTCGACTCGTCACCAATGAGCTGGTACTCCTGCTGCGCGGACACTGGATTATCCCGTAAGGATTGCATCCTGAACGACGTCTCTGCCCATGCTTCTTGGAGTTTTGAACGACTACTGGAGAAGATGACAGTAGCGTCATAGATAATACTGAATGTCTGATCTTTTGGATTTTCGTTCACGCGCCCGATAACATGGATAGAACTTGACGGGAAGCCCGCATTAACGTATTCTTTCATTAGCTTGGGCAAGTCGGACTGGCGGACTTGCATCACGGCACCTAACTCCTCGTTAAACAGGGTGGAAATCGGGTCTTGAACGGAGTGCAATGCATCAAGAGAGATCTTAGCACCCACACGTCCTGCGAAGCACATCTCTACAAGAGTTGTGAACAAACCACCGTCCGAACGATCATGGTACGCCAGAACTAAATCAGGTTCTGTTTTCCGCACGTTTTGACTGGCAAGGAAAAACGACTTGAGCACGGCAGCATCTTCGACATCTGGTGCCTCTGAGCCTATCTCTTTGAAAACTTGCGCAAGGCCAGAGCCACCGAGACGCTCCTTTCCATTCGCCAGGTCAAAGAATACAAGAACGGTGGGTTCTGTTGTGTCCGTACGCAATTGAGGTGTCCACGTGGCGTCGACGTCTTTTACGGGTGCAAACGCAGTGACAATCAGTGATAGCGGTGCGCTCACTTCGTGACATTCTTCCCCATCCTTCCACTTCATCGACATAGACATGGAGTCTTTGCCAACAGGAATTCCCACCCCGAGAGCAGGGCACAGGTCCATACCTACGGCAGCTACAGCAGCATATAATCCTGCACCTTCTCCTTCCTTCGATGCAGCGCACATCCAATTCGCACTGATTTTTACGCGGGAGAGGCTTGATACAGAAGCTGCCGCCAAGTTGGTCAGCGATTCTGCGATAGCCATCCGTGCAGAGGCTGATGGATTGAGAAGAGCTACTGGTGTTCGCTCTCCCATGGCCATTGCTTCACCGTATGTCATATCAAAGCCGTATGATGAGCGCGTAACAGCTACGTCTGCAACTGGGACTTGCCAGGGCCCTACCATTTGGTCTCGGGTGACGAGACCAGTAATGGTCCTGTCACCAATCGTAATCAAGAACGACTTAGACCCAACAGATGGTAATCGGAGAACACGATAGACTGCAAGAGAGAGTCGTTCGGGAAGAGTAGTGGCATTAGGGAGGTATGAAGAAAGCGACGTGTCAAATGATTTGAATCCAATTCTTCGGGTAGTGTCTTTCCTTGACATGCGAGGAGGTTTCCCAAAAAGAGTGGACATCTTCAAGCGAATTACATCTGAGGAGAGCAAGCGGTCCGTTACAATCAGCTCTTCCGCCTCCGTCGCAACCCCAACTACGGAGAATGGACATCTCTCCCTCTTGGCGAGTTTTTCGAATACATTCGCCTCTTCTGGAGATATCGCAAGGACATATCGCTCTTGACTTTCGTTGCACCATATCTCCATAGGCGACATCGACGAATCAGCAACGAGTACGTCCCTAATTTCGAACATAGCACCTAGCTCAGAATCGTGCACCAACTCGGGGAGAGCATTTGATAACCCTCCAGCACCAACATCATGGATGCTTTGAATAGGGTTGTCGTCACCCAAAGCAACACAAGCATCAATAACTTGTTGACACCTCCTTTGCATCTCGGCGTTGTCTCTTTGCACTGACGCAAAGTCCAACTCCGCTGAACTTGCACCTGACACCTGGCTAGATGCCGCCCCTCCGCCCAAGCCAATCAACATGCCGGGGCCACCGAGAACAACAATCTTTGCACCAGGCGATATCCTGCTCTTTTTGGCAAAATCAGGCCGAACATTCCCATATCCGCCGGCAATCATGATCGGCTTATGGTAACCTCTAATCTCCCTAGCCTGGCCATCTTCTGACGCTGGTACAGATTCAGAGAATGTGCGGAAATATCCAGTGAGTGCGGGTCGGCCAAACTCGTTATTGAAAGCGCTGGCGCCGAGAGGCCCCTCCATCATGATATCAAGAGCTGATGCTATATGCGATGGACGACCAAAATCCGTTTCCCAAGGTTGGTTATAACCAGGAATGAGTAAATTGGAAACAGTGAATCCAGCCAAACCCGCTTTTGGTTTGGACCCTCTGCCTACTGCTCCTTCATCGCGGATCTCGCCTCCAGAACCTGTAGCAGCCCCCGGGTATGGTGATACAGCCGTGGGATGGTTGTGAGTTTCGACTTTGATCAGAATTGGTATGTCCTCGATGCAGGAGTTATACAGATTCACCGAGCCTGGGCGAGTAGCACCGAAGCGAGAGGCTGGATTGCCTTCCAGAACGGCAGCGTTGTCAGAGTATGCGGAAATGGTGCCAGTGCCACTGATGATTTCAGTGTTTCTAATCATTTGAAACAATGATCTATCCAAAAGGACTTCATCGATCGTCCAAGATGCATTGAAGATCTTATGTCGACAATGTTCTGAATTTACTTGAGCGAACATGAAAAGTTCAGCATCAGTGGGGTTGCGATTGATAGGAGACGGGCCAGATATGAATGCATCCACCAGATAGTCCACTTCGTCAGGTGCAAGTGCGAGACCCAGACTCTTATTAGCTGCAGATAGCCTCTCCCGAGAGGATACAGCATCTTCACCACCGCCGATCAGTTCAACTGTACGAAGGGGACTCGGAGGATGGTGTTCAAAAATACTATCTTCTTTAGGAATGGCTGATTGAACGACTTGTGTCATGCGATCATGGATGAGGTGTGACAAGGAAGCCACCTCCGTACTACTCAGGAGAGTATCACCTACATTTTTGAAGACAAAAGCCAATCCTCGTTCTAGGCGCTCAATATGCCCCCCCAAGTTGCATATTGCGGCAATGTCTGTGGCTTTGCTGGACCAAGGTGAGATTGTACCAGGTCGGGGAAAGACATAGACAACATTGTGTCCGTTTTGGAGAGCTTGTGAAGTACCTGGAAGCTGGATACCGTCCCCGTAATCTAACAGGAGATCGAGTGATCTTCTGTATGAAGAGTCTTCACATGTAGTAAGATCGCATTGAGAAGATTCTGAGGTGCATTTAAGAATGTGGAGATGAACGGCGTCGAGAGATACAATATTGGGACAGATTTTTTGTGAACGTTCGAGCAGGCTATTTCGCTTAGACGTTGAGAGGGCGGAAGGACCGTAAAGGACGAGCATCGTCCTCTATTAATTACATCGGTCAAAATCTCCAGGATTTTGCTAGCTACTATGCCAAACTGGACCAAAGTAACTGAGTCTGAAATTTGATCTTGCCGACCATCTAATCAGAGCAATTATGTAAACAAAGGCCTCAAATATGGATTTAACATTGGAGTGCTCACAACAATTGCAGCGCAGCTGACATGGCTGGAAAGACTGGAAACTTGGCAAGCTTACTTGCGCGTGGAGAAAATAGAGCTTCTTGCAGATAATGATTGATCTTGGGCTGCCTCAAGTACGGTGGTCTCCTGTGTTTATCTTGTGTGTTCAAATGTCACAAGTGAGGTCTTTAATGAAGGTTGCACTACTACCTCTACATATTATGTTTCCACTAATGGTACTTCAAATAGAACGAAACTAAAAAAATCTTGGTCCATGAGCGACTGATACTCCGCAGCAAACGTCGGGTTAGCGGAAGCATCCAGCCCACTTGAAGCTTGAGAAGATTTCGACGAAAGATTATTAGCGAGCAAACTAAGAAGTTTAGGTGTAGACCTCGGTTCCGGCTGGGAGTATTGAGATAATTCGTTCAGATTAAACTTCAGTGGTAAGGATTTACCTTTATAGCAAGCCCAATATAGTCGGCTGGGAGACCATATCGAAGAACGCTCTCAACAAATAAACGAACCACTTTGAGATGGACGAGAACTTGATAGGCCTCCGAAAAATTGGCGCGTGTCAGCCTCACCAGCTGGGCCTATCAGATAGGTTTTCTGGTCAATGCCAGGGGGTACGACAATGAATCCGTTCATACCCTCAACTCCCTCTCGGTACTTTCCGCTATTTGTATTTCTTCTTGCTCATTGGCAATCAGTTCTTCGTGATACACAAAATCACGGACAATGAACCTGAATAACGTCACATCAGACACAATAATCAGGTGAAGCATATATGTGTAGTCACTTGTTTTCTCGACATCTTTGAACAAATTCGTCATGTGTTCGTCGGAACACTATGACAGAAAATAAAGTATACTCGTTGTCTGAGCAGATTGCCCTGGATTGAAAATGTCACAAACGCGCAGGACGAAAAAGGAAATAAAGGACTAGCAACTTACTTGCAAGAGCGAGGTACTACCATGGAGGTCAATCGCTCGTACTTTGCGTTCCAAACCTTGACCAAATTCCTTGGTCGAGTTTCAGATGAATCCTTGCCAAATTTCTAGACCAGTACTTACTTTGGAACAGAGACCAGCAAGGTCTCCAGATACTCTGAATCGGGAACAAAATCATCTTTGGACACTACGCCTACTAAAGACCGTACGGATAGGTCTCCACTAAAGCCGGCCGTTTGGTGAGGATAATCTCGATTATAACCTCGGATGAACTTACGTTCCTTTTCGTCGTAATTGAGTTAAAGATCCTTTAGCAATATCATAGGCGTTGAGTTTCGACTTCATAACGTGATCTATGAAGGCCATGTCCTTCAAAATGCATCATCCGCCAGTTAACCATAAGCAATTCGTAAGGGAGCATACCTTGTTCAAAACATCAACTGTCTCCTGTAAATCTCGCTGCGGGGCATATTTGCTTTCATTCCACTTCCAATCATTGAGCATGTAGTCAGCAACATCCTCCCCATCCACGAGAATATGTTGCGTGAGAGCAGCTTTGTTATCGTTAAACAACTTGCGCCAAATATCCACCATTTTTGCAATAAGCGCAGTAAAGAAAGTGTCGTATTTTGGCAACTCCTCAGACAAGGCGATTAGCGAGTCCAACGTCCCTATCTTTACGAGAGTTAATAAGACAGCGCTTCGATCATCTAACAGAAACAGTACCTTGAATGAAGGAATCGCAAGATTGGAGACCTTATGAGACGAGTTCCCGACGTCAGACAACAGCGTTTCTGCTGACACAGCGTGCGGTATAGCGACCAGCCAGATGCTCCGATCAGATGGCATTGCGAAAAATATGTCCCAAAGAGTGTCCCAAAAGTTTCCAGTCGTCTACCTACGATTTTCCGGAGCTGTAGAGTCTGTTTAACAACCTCTGGTCCGGAGGCTTTCACGAAACCAAGGTCCGCTTATAATGATTTTGTCACTGTTTGCGGCAACGCCACTACAGTCATTCACTGGCACTTGAAACAAAGACTTACAGCACTTGATTTTTGGCCACATCCAACAAAATAATAACGTAGAAACTTGATCATAATACATACCTTGTGTTAGGCTCCAAGAATTAAGTCTTTTCAAGAATAATAAATAATAGATTAGAGTTTTGTACAGCAGAACACCGTATTTTGAGCCTCATCAAGTAAAAGCATGGCTAATAACTATGAAAAAGTACCAAAGTAGGTATAGGCAGGTTTCAGCCCAGTATTTGTAGTATATGATTAGGGAATGGATGTTTGTATGTATTGCCAGTGCAATGCCACTCAAGGATGTCTGTGAAGTGATCATATCATATCAAGAGATTTACCTAAAATGGAATAGTAGTATAAAAATTGCCCTCCAGGCAGTCCTGGACCCGGCTTTATGCAGATATACCATGTGCTTAATACTGGTAGAATTTTATATTGGTATCACAGGACTGGGAAGTTTTAAGCATCACTCCTTACTTTCAAGCCATACATAAAGATAAGGTCAAGTATTCAGCAAGACAAAGACAAACCTGAAAAAGAGAGAAGGAGCTTATTGTTACAACCAAGAGTTTGTATACTCTGGCGCACAACTCAGACAAGTGGTAGTGAATGTTGGATATTTGGTGTAACAACCAAGAGTTAGTTACTCCGGCGCACAACTCAGACAAGCTATAAAGGTAGTGATGAGGGAGTGGTTACCCCTTTAGGTAGGACCGAGTTAGTTGTGGGTATACAACAGGAGGACTTGCTGAGGAGTCTCCTGGATCTATTGAGGTATATATACTAATACAGAGTGTTTGTACTTATGTAATGTACAGTTGATAAAACCAGTGGCTGATGATGTCATGGGGCACAGCCCGTGTGACCAGCTCTACTGCGTGAGAGACTTGTAGCTAAATAAGGAAAAAGGCAGTGCAGCGCGAGAAGGTGGAGTTTGAACAAAATGGAAAGTGCCACATAGCACTGTGTGTGAAAACTATAGTATAAGGTTAAAGAGGAGAATGAAAATTAAAGGTCCGAAAATTGTGTATTGTAACATTTGGTCCCTTAGGGCGTGGGAACAGGCACGAGAGCAGGATTCCTTAGGTAAATGAATGCCGTAACAATGTAAATACAAGGCTTCTTATACAACAAATATATGTAAATATCATGTGAAAAAACAATGGTGGCCACAAAAGGCTGGTTATAATCACAGAGTAAATCTTTGGGCAAAGCTCTGAAGTTTGCTTACATAATATAATTTCTACAGTGAAGTGAGTGGGAGTGGTTACCCCTTAGATAGGACCGAGTTAGTTGTAGGTCAACAACAGGAGGACTCGCTGAGGAGTTTCCTGGATTTATTGGGGTGTATATATTACTACAGGTTTGTTTGTACATATGTACTATACAGTTGATGGAGGCAGTGGCTGACAATGTCATAGGGCACAGCCCGTGTGACCAGCTCCACTGCGTGAGATGCTTGTGTCTAAAAATAAAGAAAGGTAGTGCAGTGTGAGAAGGTGGAGTTTGAACAAAAGAGAAAGTGCCACATGGCACAGTGCATGAAAACTACAGAAGAAAGTTGAAGAGGAGAATGAAATTTAAAGGTCCGGAAATTGTGTTATCATAACACACCACCATTTTTAAACTAGATAGAATTATTTCAAGTCTACAGCTAGCAAGACAACACTCACCTTGATGAATAGATTATACAATTCAACGCATCAGTCAACCCCACAAAAGTTCCCCGGTTTTCCTGTTGGATTGACCAGTATGTGGTATTGAACAGCTTTTCTACAAAATGTCAGCAAGGAAACCAACTTAGTGTCAGAGAAAAGACACAGCAAAGACTAACTGGGTATTTAAAATGAACATTCACTAAGTAGTTCAACATGTGAGTGGCATACTTGTGTTTCCCAGTAGCCTTGAAAATAAATATCCAAGGCATGATGCATGCTTCGATGCCAGCAATAACACCTGCATTCATAGTGTAGGACAGCTCCTTGTATAACAATGTATATTTGTTAAACAACAAAGCATTTTTGTGTTGTTCATCTTGAGCATCCTGCCTTTTCCTTCACTTCTGAGAGACAGTATGATCTGCAACATAATCCAGGGCTAACTGATTAGCAATCAATTTCAAGTCTTCAAATGTTGGTTTTGACACTGTAAAGTGCTCCAGCCCATGATGTGAAGAGTTTCTCTTTTTAACCTCAATTCTCCAGCAGTCCAGTCTATGACAAGCCACTGCATGGCCAATAAGCTGGTGCATCCGTCGAAAACCAGGCTTTGAGCCAAAAATGCCCACTTCCCTTGGATAAAGCTTAGCTATATCTCGCATAATGCTGGTCTCATCTTCTCTAGCAGCTGTTGGATTGATAAACACACACCAAAATGCTTTGGCAGCAGCCATCTTGAGATGGAATAGCCCAGGGATGAACACTACGTGCTGGAATTGATCCCATGGTGTTGCTTCAATAGCCTGACACTGCTGTACTGTCTGTAGACGTTTCCTGGTGCCTAAATCTTAAATCTCCATGAAATAGTACAACATATTGAGATATGTCAGGTCCTTCATTATTATCCCAGGCTGATGTGTTCTCCGACTGACTACCCCCATCTGCAGATGGCTCTGTTATTCCACCCTGTGCCAGCAACTCTACAACAGCTTGTATGTTTCCTGACACTGTCAAATTATTGATGTCCAAGGGCCTGGCAGCTATAATAAATGTTTTGACGACAGAAATTGGCTCAATTGGTGGTGGAGGTTCAATCTGAGACTTGAAACTCGCAAAGTAAGCAGGTCCTTGATGACAGAGATCATGCATGAACTTCCACATATTGAATTGCTATTGACGGCTAAGTCCTGAGGTGTTGGGGACATCAGGATGTATGCTGAGTAGCTGTTCTAATGTTTCCCTAGTGAGACCATCAGACAGAATGATATCTGGATTGAAAGTGGAGTTTTCCCAGAGTTCCTGAGAGCACTTGAGGTCTCTGAGAGTAACACCATGCTGCAAGGGAAATAGCAGTCCAAAGTGAGATGCTTTAATGTATCTGATGATTTTTCAGCCACAGGTTGGTGGGACTTCAAGTCCACGTCAAAATTGTCATATGCATATGAGGCTAGTATTGCTTGCCCTAGTGCACAGATGTTACAGTGAGAGTCAGCTGATAATAACCAAATGGCACTGTGGATTGCACTCGGTGAGATTGAGACGCCCATGCAGGCCATTGCGTCGATAACCTTCTCTGGGGAATGTGATGATTGCAAGAAGATACCTATCATGCTCTGCAGTGCATTGGACTTTTGATTTGCACTCTGCATCATGATACTCAAAATAACAACTTTTTTCTATATTATTACAAGCACATAATTAGCGGTACAAAGTACAAATTTGTAGCAAGGAGACATATAAATATGGCTAGTTGCAGATTGTTACAGCTAAATTCATATTGATAGACCAATATTTTGAAAATCACATGCATAGGAGTTTGACTGACTTTCCATTGAGTTGAATTGAGTTGGAATATTAGACTAAATCTTAAAAAAAAAGCTAAAATGATGTGGTTAGACTCTGACAGAGTCACATGCAGGTGGCAGGCACTTAAAACTATTCGCACTCCGTTTTGTCTTCCTGTATGTGTGCTCTCACATGGTGGTTTATCGATTTGAATTTAGCTGTAGACATTCCAGTGTGAAAAATGTGCACTCGGAGTTGAAGCAGAATGAGTGGGAGGTACATTTTTTTGGACTTGAAAGACTAATCTCAGAGTCTGCCCACCACAGGGAAGCCATGAGGTGCCACAGCTACGTCAACCAGACTTAAGGTACTGTCTTTTGATCTTTCAGGGATTTCTATTTTTCAAGCCTGCAATTTCTACACTGTCAGTAAGGCTGTATATATGCAAGAGCTTTGAAACTGGCACACCAGTATCATACCTATGAGAATATTAGTTGGACATTTTTTGAGCAATGTATCCGACAAGGTATCTGATATACTGGTGCTATTTATGTCAGAGAGCTTTGAAAAACTACATACAATCCATATAGCTACAGCCTACTCTACATGTCCATGAATCAATCCTATTGATGACCTTGAAGTTTGTTTATGTGATGCATCTCTGTTTTCAATATACTCCAGACAATTAATACAAATCTTTGCAAAATGTAAGACTGAGGTTTTATAAGCATGTGTGTTGATGTACGGTGTGATCTATACATTGAACCTGTGTGGATATCATTCCTAAAGCCTTTGAAAATAGTTTCACCATAGCTTCCTAACAAAACACAAAAAAATCAAAACACTGTGATTATATTGTGATATAAAGCTTTGCAATTACAAGAAGTAGACTATGAGCAGCTAAAAAGATATTTCATTCACCAAACCAGGTAGCATAAATTGTGTTCTGCCATTCCAGAGCTGACATCTGTGCAAGCTTTGATGACTTTCTTTGGGCCAGGATATCCGGTGAGGTCCCACTGCACCTACATTTGAATTCATGGTTAATAAATACACCACTAAGTCAGTGCAATATTGTAGCACTTACTGTTTCCATGCAAACTGATATTTGGTCTGGGTCTTTGCATTTTTCCTTGCCTTGACTTCCATATTCTGCAGATGATAATCAACAAAATTCCAGTATTTTCCGGAACACTGAAACTGGCACCAGTCATCATTCTTTTTCTTCTTCACTTCATCAGAATTCTCAGTCTGACCAGCCTCTATTGATGCAAATTACTCATGCTCATCTCTGTCTCTCTTGGTGGCATCCTAATTAAGTGGTCTGTCATTCTCAGTAAAGAAGGTTCTGTTGGCTCTGGTGTGGTTTCCAGTGTGGTAATCGCCACCTTTCTCAACATTTTGCCCCTGATTATCTTCTTGAGATGTGTCATGTAACCCTATAGTACCTTCATTTGATGCCTCTACTTGGACCATCTTGTAG